AAAGGCTCTCAAGTGGACCCCAAACCGCGCCAGGAGGCTTCCCCCCTTCCCCAAGAGGACCCCAAGCGGCCCCAGGAAGGCCCCCGACTGCTGACGCACATATCCGTAGCCATCTCGGATCAAGGTATCGCCTGTGTTCTTGGATCATGGCTTTGACGGCGAAAGACCTTCACGAGCAGTATGGCCCTGAGCTGTCGCGGCCTCCCTTGGCCGACTGCGAGAGTGCGTATTATTTGCATCAGGCGCTCCGGGCAAAGGGTATCAATGCTAGTCACCAGGCGTGCAAGACTTGGTGGGCCAAGTATCGGGTTGTGACTGGCACGGTCAGTATTTCTAGCGCCAAGGAGCTGGAGGAGCAGCACGGCTCTGCCATCCGCCACCTGGGCATTGAGTATAATACCGCTTTCAAATTATGCCGGGCGCTCCGACAGTTGGATCCACCACTGTATGTGCCAGATAGGGTCGCAACGGCGTGGCTACTGCAGTATTCATCCAAAGACACGCTTGTCCAAGTGCAGAACGCTGGCCACTTGGAGACCTGGTATGGAGAACGTATTCGCAAAGACATGCCCGAGGGGACCACTGACGGGGCCGTCTTGAAGCAGTGGCTCCTGGGACATTTATCTGTATCTGCTAACGCCAGGGTATGCCAGAAGTGGCTCAGCACGGAGTGGGGCGCCAAGGGGGCATTGAACACTGCCCAAGCTGTGGAGGAATGTATGGGCGAGCGTCTTCGACTCAATCAGTATCGGGAGAGCTTCGCCGACGAGGCCGCTGCGGAGGTCCGTCGCAGCTTCTCTGGGACTGTATAACATCAGTGTAACACATGTACTTCTGTAATCGCATCCCCACGAATTTGCCCCAAAAATGTGACCAACTATCTTGGCACTGCGTACCATCTCACGTGTACCGTGTACCACATCATATGTAACAGATGTGATCAACCTCTGTGGGTGTGTACCCCACGCCAGTGTAGTAGCCAGGGTCGTCCGCACGCCACGAAGTGAAGTGTCCCAACGTCATAGGGCGGGAAGCTGGGTGTGGGTGGTCTCGAAGAGTCGTTTGGATATTTGGTAGAGCTTGAACGGCCCCCCCACGAAGTGGGGGTATTGGCTGGTGTCGCAAGAAAACCCTGGCACTGGGGAGAACACTGAGCGTTCGGGTAAAATGATTGCTGTTGTTGTTGTTGTTGTTGTTGATGTTGTTGTAAACCGGGGGCCAACGACACAGTTTGACCCTCGAGACTTTCCCTGCTAAAAAACAGGGTGCGAGCCCTGGGAAGGGCACTTCAATCGAAAAAACAATGTGCACCGGACGGGGGGGATCAACAATAATTACTGTTCAGAAATGAGAGTTCAACAACAACAGCAACAACAACAACGGGTCCCGCCTGAAATTTGCCCACAATGTACTCCGGAATCGCGCTCTCGCCGACGACTTCCTTCAATTTGTGAAGGCGCTGCGCGCAGGAGACGCCCCCACCATTTACTCAATACTCGCGCTCGCGTCTGACGCTTCTTCATTCGCTTGAACGCTCCGCCCGCCCGACCCGCCCGTCGGGGGCAGCGCGGCCGGCCTGCACGTCAGTGTCCGCCCGCCCGACCCGCCTGGTGGGGTCCGCCCGTGCGCCTGCCTGGAATTGGCGGCGCGCACAAGGGGGTCGGGGGGCGGGGGGAAGGCTTCTTAGCAGGGGGAGGGGAGGGGAGGGGGGGGGGGGGAGGTAGGGGAGGGAGGGGGGGAGGGGGGAGGGGGGATGGGGGTAGGGGGTAGGGGGTCTTTTGACTACACTTAGCTCTTTGCAAGTAGCTTGAGCGGGGCGGCCGCAGGTCGGCTAGGCGGCAGACAGAGCCCGCCTAGCGGGCACTACAAAGGATCTCCGCTCCTGCCATTGGACCTGCATGTTGGGCGGGGGAGGTATTGGCACCGAAGGGGGGGGAGGGGGAATATATGAGGAATAGAAGGGATCGGTGCCGTGCGAGAGCCACTAAGCGCGCCAGTTAGGCGTTGCCCTATGCGGGCAGCGCTGAAAGACCGAAGAGCAGCACAGCTGGCCTCAGGAACGGCCACCTGGGAGCATGGCTTAGCCATGGATATGAGCGGGATGAGTAGGAAGAGAGCCAAAATGGCAGTGCCGCGCTGCAGGGCGGCAGTGTCGGAGCGGACCAGGAGGGAGAGGCTGGCATTGCCGCCTAGAGACCTAGGAAGCCCCATCGGAAACGCACGTGACCGGTAAGGGGGGCAGGTAAGATAATGCCTGTGCTGTACTTGGCTTCTTAGTGTTAGCGGGATTCGCCGACACGTGGTAAGAGGAGGAGGGGGGAACTCTAGGGGGGGTGAAGGAGTATCTTGCACAGCCAAGAAGCACTAAGGCGAGGTAGCTGTCCGCAGCAGGTGCGCACCTCTGACGGGCAGCATTAGCCGGGAGATACTCGGCAGGAGGGAGGGGGGGTTCCCCGGAGGATGCTCTGCCAAGGAGCTGCCGTGGGCGGAAAAGGCCATTTGCGCCGAAGACGGCCGCATGGAGACCAGCTATATGCCAAGACGGTGCAACGTATGACATAACATTGCATTGAAAAATGCGTTGCTAGCATTGTCTGGCCGGCCGTGCCGAGGAAGAGAGAGGAATCGAGTAAACTGTCATGGCATTGTCTGTAGGGCCACTCTGCGGAAGATGGCTGGTAGCGCCTGCGGCTTCGCCGAGACCTGCAAACTTGAGGCGGAGTGCCGCTGAGACAAGTGCGTGACAGGTGCATGCGCGCTGCGCCGAGTCGGAAGCCACAGGGCTGCTGAAAGCTGTCTACGGTCGCTGTCCAAAAATCCTGACGCCGAATGTGGTGTGGTCCCTCGGCCTGGTGTGCGAATGATCCTGGACATGGAGCGTACTGCACGGCACGTAATACGTAATGCGCGAGGAAAGGACCAGGAGGAGGGAGTGCCAAGGGGCATGTTGAGGAGAGGGAGGAGCTGGGAGCAAGGTGGTTCCCCAAGAGGCCGCGCTGGGGTGAAAAAAGCTGGGGCTGCTTGCTGGCTTATCTGCCGTCGAAAAGTGTGCTGCCTTATCTACCGTCGAAAAAAGCCAGTGCCAGAGAGTGCTGCATTATCGGCCGTCGAAAAGAGAGCTGCCTTACGTGCCGTCGAATTGAGTGCTGCATCGCCTGCCTGAGTGCTGCCTTGCCTGCTCCGTTTTCCGTCTTCGGCGGAAAACTGACGGAGCTCGGGAGGTGGAGGAGATGGAGCGGAGCGGAGCTGCTGGGCTAGACGGTGGCCTCAAGGCGCGTCGCTAGACGCGGCATTGGCACTGGCACTGGCTGATAACGCTCTGGCCCTGGCCAAACACTCGTGAGTTTCCGCCTCTGTCCTGGCTAAAAACGCTCTGACACTCTGCCGGATACTGGCGGATACTGGCACTGGCTGCTCAGGCACTGCATGGCAATGGGCTGCTGGCGGGGGGAGGGTAGGAGCATGGCAATGGGCTCGGATACTGGGGTAGGGGGTAGGGGGGAGGGAGGGGAGGGGGGAGGGGGCAAGGCGCCTTAGAAGGAGGCTGCTTCTCAGAAGGCGCCGGCCTCACATCTACAGAGAAGGCCCGCGCCTTCTAAGAAGCAGGGGTGCTTCTAATTCTAAGCAGCCCCCCCCCCCCCCCCCCACCCCCCTCTGCGCCTGCCTGGAAGCCCGCCCGCACGATTCACTCCGCCCCGCCCGACCCGCCCGTCAGGGCCCGCCCGGCCGACCAGCCCGTCGGGGTCCGCCCGCCCGGCCCGGCCCGCCCTGCGAGGTGCGCCCGCCCGGCCTGCCTGCTAGGGGGAGGAGGAGGAGGCGGAGGAGGAGGAGGAGGAAGAGGAGGAGGAGGAGGAGCAGGCGGGAGGAGGAGGAGGAGGCGGGAGGAGGAGGAGGAGGAGGAGGAGGAGGAGGAGGAGGAGGAGGAGGAGGACGAGGAGAAGGCGGCGAAGCTGTCTAGCCTCTCGCGAGCTTGGGAGCCCGCCTGCCCGCTGTGAGGCCCCGCCCGTCCTGCACGCCGTTCGGGTCCGCCTGCCCACCCGACCCGCCCGTTACGGCCGGCCCGCCCGTCCGCTTGCCAAAACTATGACTCCTGCGAAGGCTTCTTGGCCCTCGATCCTCCTCCCTTCCTCGCGCCCCCTCCCTTCTTGTATCCTCGTCCTCCTCCTGTCCTCGCTCTCTTCTTGCTACTTTTCCTCTTCCCCTCCTCCTCCTCCTCCTCCTCCTCCTCCTCCTCCTCTCCTCCTCCTCTCCTCCCCCCCTCCTCCTCCTCCTCCTCCTCCTCCTCCTCCTCCTCCTCCGCTTCCCATGTGAGTGGCCACGCCAACTATACGTGGAAGGCAAGGAAGATAGATCTACCCCCAGAGGGGGGACGATCGTGGCTGCTGATGTTTGCTGCATCTTTTTGGTTCACAGGAGCAGCCGACCCCGCAGCAAGTGTTGCGCCCCGCTCAGGTGGTCCGCCAACGCCTCAGCGGCGCTCTTGTATTTCGAGCGCGGCGCCCCCCGCGACCGTGAGACGGAAGTGCTGGCCCCTACAATCACCTTTCGGCACGCCCGGAATGGGTACGCAAAACACTGGCACGATACCCAACAGCAGATTTTGTCAAAAGCCGACAGCGCCCGCTGTTGGGCAGGTGCCCGCTTTGCACCAAGTGGACAACGTCCGCGGCGACACCGACAACGAATCCTGCTCAAAACGAATACGGACTGCTGTCGGTCTTGGTCCCCGTGCGCTCCGTACTCCAGATCTCGTAATATAGAGAGGGGGGTCTCATTTCGAGGGGGGGTCTCTTCCAGGCTATCTTGGAGGGCCTGGGGGGTCTGGGGACGATGTTTTGGAGGGTTCTCCCACGGGGGAGGTCTGAAATGGCTTGTCTTGGAGGGTCCAGACCCCCTCCCTTTTATTACGAAATCTGGAGTACTCATTCCGGTCGTGCCACACCTTCGAGACGACACTCGCGCGGCGCCACCGAGTGGCACTTGTCGGCCTGCCTGTTGGCCTCGGTGTCGTGGGCATCACCTCGGAGGGGTCGGGGTCGGTGCCGCTGTCCTGCGCCGTGGCGCCCGCGGCCTCGTTGGCGACCCAGTCGCGCACGGCCTGGATCAGGTCGTCCGAGACCTTGTTGACGGACACGTCCACGGTGACGCCCGGCGCCTCGAAGCAGAGGACCTGCTGGCCATCGCTCGGACGTCCATTTCCGGTGTTTTTTTCGATTTCGTGCGTGGTTTTTTCGCCAAATGGTCGAGGATGCTCCTCGAAGGTCCTCGCCGAGAAAAAAATGCACACGTCCGAGCGATGCCAGGCCTGCGCCAGCCTGATCACCGAGTCGTCCGCGATCCTGTTCAGGGCCAGGTTGAGGCGCCTCAGGGAGGGCAGGTTGACGATGGCGCCGATCAGTGCGTCGCAGAACAGCTGCTCGTCCTTGTCGGAAGACTCGTGGCAATCGTTGTCGCTCAAGTCCAGCAGCTCCTCGAGGGACTATGAGATGAGATGCCTTGGTCGCCACTCCCCAGACCTCCCCCAGGGTGCGTTCTGACCAGAATTTCGAGGAGAAGCCACCCGTGGTGACGAGGGCCTTCCCGGGCAAGCAGAGATAGTTACAGTCAGGGCGTTGACCTAAGGAACCCTAAATAAGGAACGAGGCCCTTATTTTCCATAAGTTAACCTTCGATTTCCTGTCGAAAACATAAGGAACACCTGAGGCAAGCTGTGAAACACTTAAGGAACGCGGAGCCCCTCCCAAAAGGGTTCCTTCTTCCGGGCCCCGACTGTACATCGGTATCGTTTCCTCCTCTGAGCTCCAAGGACTTGCCGTGCTTCAGCGCCCGCAGCACGGACACCACGCCGACGCTGCCGATGCCGCACGAGCCGAGCGAGAGGTGCCGCAGGGTGGGCGGCAGCCCGCGCACGAGCGCCGACAGGCCTGCCACCTCGGGTGCGCCGGCGCTGTCCTGCCCGGGTCGCGACGCGAGGCCGGGGTTGTTGTACATCAGCAGCACCTCGAGGTTCTTGAAGACTGGTATGGCCGTTGCGATGGCAGAGGAAGGAAGAACCAGCGCAGGCACAAACCGTCGGAGGCTTGGCGCCGATTGTCTGGATCGGCGCTGTACCCCCCCCCTCCTCCCTGGCGCGCGCCGCGCCGCCAGGGTCAAGTCGGGCGTGTCCCCCTACGGCGGGATTTTGAGCGTTTTTTTTTTTTTTTTCCCCCCAGAGGGCAAAAATAGTAAACAAAAAACAAAAAACAACCCGACTATTTCTTGCTTATTTTTGAATATCACCCCTGCAGAGGGACAGGCCCGACTTCACGCCAGGGGGGGCTCCAGCGTCAAGCCCAGGCACCCGCCCAGACCTTGCAGAACGTTTGTGCCTGTGCCGCCTCTTCTCTCCTCTCCGCGCTGAGCTCGACCCCAGAGGCCCGGATCCTGCAGCTCGCGATGTTCAGCCAGCGCAGGTGCACGGCAGGGGACTCCTTTCTCGCCATCGCTCGGACGTCCATTCCCCGTGTTTTTTTCGGTTTCGTGCGTGTTTCCGCCAAATGATCAAGGATGCTCCTCGATGGCCCTCGCCGAAGGAAAAAACGCACACGTCCGAACGATGCCAAGCCTTTCGGCGGTGGACAAACCTCCCTGTAGTGAACCTCCCTTTAGGGACAAAACGGCCTAGGACCGAGACCGACGGACCCAGACCCGCAAAAAGAACGGCCGCGACGCCCCCTCGCGAACCGAAAACGGCCGATTCACGAATCGACGCGTCAGGGCAGGAGGTCTCTATCCACCTCCGATCCTTTAGGGCGACGCAATCTATACATATCCACTGCTCCCTGGCCAGGCCCATCCTGAACACAGCAGCTGTGTATACGCCGCGCCCTCCTGGTTTGGCCAGGAGGGCGTATACACAGCTCCTGGGTTCAGGATGGGCCTGGCCAGGGAGCAGTGGATATGTATAGATTTCGTCCTCCGATCCTTGGGCGTGCACGAATGAATGGGGGGGGGGGGGGGGGCGAGAAGTGTGAAGAGAGGAAGGAAGGACGGTGCACCCCTCGGGCCCTCGAGGCCCCCCCTCGTGGGCCCGAAAGGGGCTCCTTTCCTGCGGCCCTCGCTGCCTCCCCATCTGTCGCCCCTTCTATTCCCAGACCTCCGACGTCGCGAGAAACTCACGACGAAAGTTTTTGATAATTTTCCGCCTCCGGAGGCCCCCGCCGGGCCTCGGGAGCGTCAAAAAACGACTCGGGATGAAAAACCGGTCCCAGGGAAGGTCTCCATACTTCGGGGGGCCGACGTCGTGAGTTTCTCACGACGTCGGGGGTCTGGGTTCCGCGAGGCCCGAGCTCCTGCACCACAATGGCGTCCGGACCCGGGGGGGCGAGCGTGCCGCGGCGCGGCAGGACCTCCTCCTGCGTGCTCTTCCTCGACTGCGAGGGGGCCTCCTTCGAGCCCCCTCGCGCCGAGGGCCGCTTGCTGGAGGACCGCGCGGATCCCTTGGAGCTGTTCGCCCCGTCGCCGGACCGCTCGAGGATGTGCCTGGCCATGCCCTCCAAGGCGCGGCCCAGCGCGGAGAACTCGCCCAGGCGGTTGTCCCTCAGATCCAGCTCCCGCAGCGCGCACTGGGAGCCGGGCCTGAACAGCTCCGCCACCGCCGCGGAGGCCTCGAGGCCCAGCTCGTTCCTTCGGACGCCCGAAGCGGGTACGGAACAAAAAAGGGTACGATGCCCAACAACAACAAAAAATGTCGTCCAAAACCGACATCGGCCGCTGTTGGGCAGGCGGTCTTCCGTCCCACGTGGACACCGTCCGCGGCGACGCCGGCAACGAAGCCTGTTCAAAATGGCCAGTATATGATGTTGGTCTTCGCGCCCACTCTTCCCGTACCCATTTCGATCGTCCCGAGTTCCAGGCCAGGCTGATGGACGTCAGCCGGGTGCTGCCGCGGAGTGCCTCTAGCAGCGTGGCGGCGCCCGTGCTGCCCAGCGAGTTGCGGCGCAGGTCGAGCCGCTGGAGGCAGCTGCCCTGGTTCGCGCGGCTCCGCGCGTCGTTGAGCATGTTGGCGGCCAGGGTGGCGGCGGAGTTGCGGGGCGACCACGAGGCCCTCGCCCCCTCGGGCCTCAAGAAGCATAACACTCGGGGATGGACAGACCCCCCTTTAGTAAAACGTGGTTTCGTGAAAACGACCTGAGGCCCAAACCTGGCGGGCGCGAGCCTGGAAAATAACGGCCGCGGCGCCCTCTCGAGAGCCGAAAACGGACAATTCACTAATCGACGTGTCACTGTTGGGGGTTCTGTCCACCCCCGAAACACACGGCATCGGCATAAGCCTCCGGAGCTCCGCTCGGACTGGTCGGATCGGCGCCGGGCCCTCCCTCCCTGGCGCGCGGAGCACGCCAGGGAGCGCCAGGGAGGGGAGTCCAGCGCAGATGCAGAAGAACTCCGGGCGGAGCTCCGAAAGCTTAATATGCTGATGCATTGCTTCGTCACTCGGGCCTCGCGCCCGCCGCGCGGGTCGCGAAGCGGGGCTTGTCGATGTTGGGGGGGAACTCGCAGGGCTCGCCAGCGAGCGCCTCCGCGAGGCACACCGCCGCGCGCATGTCCAGGGAGTTGCCCTGCAGGCTCAGCGAGGCGAGCGAGACGTTGACCCTGGTGGCCCTGGCGAGGGCACCTGCGATCGGGATTTAAATCACGCCCCTGCTTCCGCCCCAACCCTACAAGGAGCCAGAGCTGGGGCAGCATCGATTCCTGGCAGCATAGATTCCTGGCCTCCGAGGCAAAGTTCTCATCCATGCCCTCTGCTTCCTGGGGGGGGGGGCAGCAGCAGGGGTATGGATCAAGCGCCGATCGTCGGCCTGCGCCCGCAGCGTCGACGGAGTTCTGGCCCAGGTCGAGCTCCGTCAGCGCGTGGTTGTACATCAGGGCGTCCGCGAGGGCCGTGGCCCCGTCGGGCCCGATGCCGTTGCGCCGCAGCACGAGGCTGCACAGGTGGGCGTTCTTCTGCACGGCCTCCGCTTGGAGGCGGCCGGGGGTCTGAACTGGGTGGCCCCCAGGAAAATCAGTCAAGAAGGGGGGCCGATGGCTGAAAGGCAAATCCGCTTAAGATCGGTCCCCAGAGCCCTCCCTGGTCCACCTGGTGCGGCTTTTCACCCCGGGTCCGTGTTTCTCACGGGCCCGGAGCCCGAACACGGCGCCCAGAGGCCGCACAGGCGAAAGATCTTCTCGAACCCAGAGGCTCGAACCTCTTCCCCCCCGTCCTGCCTTCTTGGAGGCCTCTTGGGGACTTCCTTGGGCCTCTTGGGGGCATGTGGAGGCTCCTTGGGAAGCACTTGGGCTGTCTGATGGCGTTCCTGGCCCGTCTGACGCCGTCGGAAGCCTGCTTGGGGGCCTGTCTGGGCCGGCTTCGGGCCTTCTTGGGGCACTTCAGGGCCGTCTTGGATGCCATCTTGCGTGCCTTGAAGGTCTCTTGGGCCGTTTAGGGGCCCTCTTGGGGGCCGTCTTGGCGGCCTCTTGGACAGTCAGGAGGCCATCTCTGAGGCCTCGTGGGCGCTCTTGGGGCCATCTCGGTGGCCTCTGGGGCCGTCTTGGGTCGTCAGAAAGCCGTACTTGAACAAACGCCAAATCCTTCAACAGTTGATTGAAAATGAATGATGTGGGCCTTCACTGGCCTTCCTGGAGGTCCTCTTGGAAGCCTCCTGGGCCGTCTTTCGGGGGAAAACAAACCTACCTCGCTTTTGACAACCCTCGCTTCCAAGAGATACCAAACGATGCCAAATTGCGGCCTGTACTGGTCAGGCCGCTTGACGAGGAGGCGCGTGGTATGGCTTGGTTTTGCCTGGAAGCGAAAGCGGGGTAGGTAATTCACGCTCTGAGTCTTGGGTTGACCGGAACCAGCGCTGGGCTGCAAGCCTCCGCCAGCACGGTGCAGCCCGAGTCGCCCAGCGCGTTGCCGGCCAGGTCGAGGAGCTGCAGCTCGCAGGCGGGCGCCCGCAGCGCGGCTGCGAGCGCCTGGGCCCCAGCGTCGCCGATGCCGTTGCCGCCGAGGCGCAGGTGGCGCAGCCTGGCAGGCACCGGAGCGGAACAGCGACTCGGATCGGAAGGCGCGGCCTGCATCGGCCTGCAGCGGCACGGAGTCGAGGACCGCATCGGCTCGGTCGCGCTGGCATGCCCAGCGCCGCCGTGCGAGCCTCGGGCCGCATCGGAGCGCCAGAAGACGGGAGTCGAGTCGCATCCAGCTGGCCGGCAGCAGGACACGGCCTATGTGCCGATCGGAAGTGGCGTGAGCCAGCTGGCCAAAGCCGAGATCGGGTCGGATCGGTCGGATCGCCGATCCGCAAGGCGGTGCTCGAAGAAGCGACCGTGCAGGCCGTCGGCCGCACGGTGCTGCAGGCGGGGTCGCGGGCCGGGCACTCGAGAGGCTCGCAGGGCCTCGCTGGGTGCGGGCAAGATTGATATCGCCTCGCGTTCGTCGAACTCCGAACCGCCCCCCCCCCCCGCCACCTGACGAACTCCGAGCCCCACCGAGGAGGAGGTTCAGGAGGAGGAGGAGGATGAGGAGGAGGGAGGAGGAGGGAGGAGGAGGAGGAGGTGGAGGAGTGTGAGGGGGAGGAGGAGGAGGAGGAGGAGGAGGAGGAGGAGGAGGAGGAGGAGGAGGAGGAGGAGGAGGAGGAGGAGGAGGCCACCCCCGCCACCCGTCGAATGGACCAGGGCCTGGTGCCCCCCTGCAGCGCGTCGCTCAGCAGCGCTGCGCCCTCGTCGCCGAAGCCCTGGCCAGGGGCCTCCAGCTCCTGCAGGAGCACGTTGCCGTGCAGCGCCTCCGCCAGCTGTGCGGCGCCTGCGGTGCCCACCTGGAGGGACGACGCACTGCACGAACCTGTCGGCGGCGAGCCTATGGGGGGGGAAGCGAGAAGGGGCGGGCCTTCTCAGACGGCTCGGAAAGCCTCGGGCCTTCCGAGAAGTTTGCCAAGCCTTCCCCGGAAGCGCCAGAAAACTTCTCGGAAGGCGCGAGGGCTGGCCCCGCCGCCTGCTGAGACGGCCTGCCTGCCCCCTCTCGCTTCCCCCCTTGGCGTGCCGCCGAACAGAAGCTTTCGGAGGTCTGCGCGGGTTCCTTGGATCGACGCCGCCAGGGGCCCAACGCCCATCCCATAGATCCGCGCGGAGCTCCGAAGTTTTACGCTTGCCCTGACTCCGGATCCGCCCTACTTTGGGCGATGCCGTAAATTTCGAGCTCCTTTGATGCTGATGCCCGCCCTACTTTACCGTCGCTGCTTCCGCCACAATGTTGCGGAAATATGCGCCCTACTTCCCTGAGGCGGAAATGCCCGCCCTACTTTGTCGCGGTGTCTGGGTTATGCCTGCGCCGTTTCTTGCGGGGGCGAATTGTATCCAGCGAAGCTGGTGGCCGATTGGGCGTGTTATTTTCGGCGTTGGCCCAGGCTGCAGTAGCATCGACGCCCTGGGGAAGGCAAGACAAATCAATCGTGGGCGGCCAGTTCATGACCGACATATGTATCGCAGTCAGGCAAACTCCTGGCGGGCACCTGGTATTACAACACCAGACAAAAATCGGTGGCCGACAACAACACTTCCTGTGGCGAAGCGGCAATGGTATACAAAACCGACCACACGTAGGGCAAAATGTCTAACAGGAAGGAAGTCCACATATCGAACATGGGACTCGCATGCGAATGCCTAGCATGGGAAGATGAGCGCACGAGGTGCCACAATCGAGTCCTACCTTACGAAGCCACAAAAAGCGCGGCACGGGCGAATACATACCACTCAGCCTATGATGGTAGCTTGCACTGTGGCCCATGGGATGCCCTTTGGGGAAAAGCCCTGAACCGCTTCCGATTGACAACTTTGGTTCCCGGCTGTCTTCCTCTCTGGCCACCGGCGTCTCCGAGAGCCCCTGGCCCAGGCTGACGCGGCGAACAAAGTGAAGCACGACGCCCACGGCGTTCGCCTCCTGCAAGCGCGCGAACGACACGGGGCATGCGTCCGCTGGGAGCGGGAAGCTCTCGAACTGCAGCGAAGGCACGGCGTGGAAGCCGACGATGCCAGGCCGCCTGCGGGTGCTGCGGGAGCTGCCGCTGGACGGCGCCGGCTCGTCGCCGTCGCCGTTCACGGTCTGCAGGGTGCGGTTGAAGCACTTGACCAGCTGGAGCTTCAGCTCCAGGGGAACGTTGGCCTCGAGCTTCGAGATGCCCACCCTCCAGATGTGGCCCTCGAGCTCGGACTGGAGGACCAGGACCACGTGGCGGATGTGCGAGGCGGAGAGCGTCCAGGGCCTGATGTCCCACAGCTCGGCGTCGAGCCTCTGCGGCGCGGAGTCTCTCTCGCGCAGGCCCTGGTGCAAGAACCTCCGCAAGTTCGTGGCCTGGGTGACCGCCTTCGCGTGGCTGCCCAGGAACTCGGGCGAGACGTGGCGGCAACCGGTCTTCTCGTTCAGGGCCATCCGGAGCTGCCGCGCGGAGCAGATCGTGCCCGCGGCACCGAGGACATTGGGCGGTGCCCCCGCGGCGCTGAAGACGCGCTGGAGCACATCGGCGATGCCGGGGTCGAGGCCACTCTGCACGCGCGAGGTCTTGGACCACCTCGTGAGGGCGAGCAGCATGTCGCCGTGGAGCGCGACTTCGGGGCACCCCTGCTGGATCCACGAGGAGACCGCCGACAGCAGCTGCAGGAACGCCGAGGGCACGGTCGGCCTGGCGGTGCTGCAGAAGCACTCCTGCACGATGGCCGCCGCGGCGTAGATGTCCGCGTAGGTCGTCTCCGCGTGCGGGGCCAGGCGCTCGCAGGTGGAGGCCATGTGGTCGTGGGCGCGGTGCGACTCCTCCAGGCCGCGCGGGCCGCGCGGGCGCGGCACCAGGCCGATCTCGCGGGCCACGCCGCAGATCTCGACGAGCGGGTACAGCGGCTCGCGGGCGCTCAGGTTCGTGGCCTTGACCTTGCAGATCATGGCGTCGTTGACGAAGAGGACGAGGTGCCCCGACTCGGTCGCCATCACGCCGAGCCGGTCGTTCCGCTGCAGCTCCGCGAGGGAGAAGCCCATGGGGCCGATGGGCCACGCCATCTGCGAGTGGGCCTGCGCGGAGCGGGTGCCGCCCAGCACGTCGGGCTGGGCTGCCTGCGCGGCCGAGAGCCTTCGCCGGTCCCGCATCTGCTCCCGGCCGTCCTCGGAGGCCTCGTCCTGGGTCGGGACCTCTTGGCCGTTCTCGAAGAATCGCCCGTCGTAGCCCACCACCCAGCTGTTGGGCTGCTTCCGAGCCCGGCACCGCCTCGCGTCGTTGAGGTGCGGCGGCGTGCGGGTGAAGCCCACTGCAAAGCCCACGGGCCCGTCGTGACGGTCGACGCAGCCGGACAGCTGCTGGGGTGGCCAGACCTTCAGGAGCACCACCTCGAAATAAGCCCCGTCGGGGAAGGTGGGCGCGGGCCGCGTTGCCTGGAACGCCAGCCCAGACTCGGTCGCCTCCCTCGCCGTGATGATGTCCATGTCGCCCTCGTCCTCACCACTGCGCACCCACGGCGTCTGATCGAACTGCCCAGGCTCCTTTGAAGGGGCCCTGGGACACACAAATAAATTCACACAAATAAAAAGATTCCCAATATTTTCATATATTTTCAGGGTTTCTGTCTTCCCCCCATTTCCCATATTTTCCAACATTTTCTGGGGAATCGACGCTTCATTGTGTCTGACGCTTCATTGTGTCTGTGTTTTTTCCCCTCCTGATCCTTCCACAATCGCAGCGCCGGCTGAGTGACGTCCGTCTTCTGGTGCTTCAGAGTGAAGTCGCACCAGCGCGCGGGAGACATGTACCACGGGGAGCCGACGCCGATCAGCAGGGCGAAGGGTGCGAACGCCTTCGGAGGAAGGACAAGCGGCACAGGCACATCACCAGGGCCCTCTCGGCCAGGATACTGCTGACCAGGACCTGGGGAATCCCACCTGGAGAAAACGAAGACTAGAATGTCTTGACACACGGCTGCAGCTCTCTTGGACGCGCCAATGTCCTGGTCTACAGTCGGGGCGTTGACCTAAGGAACCCAAAATAAGGAACGAGGCCCCTTTTTCCATAAGTTAACCTTCGATTTCCGATGGAAAACCTTAGGGGAACCTAAGGCAAATTGCACAACAATCAAGAAACACCGAGCCCATCCCCAACGAAAAGGGTTCCTTCTTCGGGGCCCCGACTGTATAATGTCTTGGCACACGGCTGCAGCTTTCTTGAACGCGCCAATGTCCTGGCCTGTCCCCGCCCAGGGGGCCCTGACATAAATGTTCGGAGGTCCGCGCGGATCTCTTGGGTCGGCGCTGGAGCCTCTGGCGCCGCCGCAGGGCGCGCTCGGGTCCATCGCCGACCCAAGAAACCTCGGCGGACCTCCCAAAGTTTTGCGCCTATTCAGACTTGTCTGCTTCGAGCCTCGACTGCCTGGACGCGGGTGGGGGCTGCCCCTGCCGCGCCGCGGCGCAAAAAACTTCGAGCCTCTGACAGTCCCCGGACCCCTCCCATGAGCCCATCCCGATCCGTTTGCCGAGGCGGATCCAGCCGCGCGACAAGAAGCTCCCAGGAAGGCGAAAAATAACAAAAAACGCCAGGGGCCTTCCCTGAGATTCGACGTTGCGAGACAAGTGCCACATCGCGGGAAACCACGACTGGAGCCCTAGATCCCGTCGTTCTGCGGCCCTTGTCAAACCGGATATATCTTTCAGTCGGGCGTGTCCCCCTACAGGGGGATGTTCGACGAAAAAAACAAATACCCCAAAAATAATCAAAAAATAATCAAAAAATAATCTGGGGACTGTTTTTTTTAATATTGTTTTGCCTTTTTGGGGTATTTTTTGCTTTTCGTCGAAAACCCCCCTGTAGGGGGACAGGCCCGACTTAAATATACCTGTGATGGCCCCGGGCCGAAAAGCCAGGCGAACACGCCCGACGCCTGGACCTTAGGCTCCGCCGCTCTACGTTCGCGCAGGCTGCCAGTCTTCGGTCGTTGAGGGCTTGACGACGTCAGCTGTCTTCTGCCTCGCGCTGGAGCTCCTGCGATCTGTTCCAGGTGTACCTGGATATCCCGGATGTACCTAGATTTATCTGGATCGGCCTTGTTTTGAATCTACCTACATTGATCTGGACTTGTCTATCTTGATCCCCGCAAGACGATTGGAGAAGAATCGTCAAGCCCTTAATTAAGGACTCGGGCAAAAGAAAACGGTGACTATCACAAAGACTGAACGCGGAAACGTCGTGCCGATCTTGGTCACCGCCCATCTGGGCCAGAGTCAATTCGAGGATCATCCTCGTGAATCGGATATGGTCGGCATGAACCAAGACCGAGATCGGCGTCGACAGGGTCCCGCGACATCTTGGTCACGGTCACCGTGCTGATTCCCTCGACATGAGACGAATCCTTGGCGGCCAAAAGGAACGCTTGGTTTTCGGGTCATGTCTCGGCTTCCGGCGGCCGTTCGGGACGATCCAGGCACTCCCCCGAACACTCTCGGCGAAGCGCAGCTGCTGGAAATCATCCCGAGGCTGGAAAACCCCCGAGGGCCAACGAAAACGCCTGAAAAACTCGACATTATTACCTAGATCGGCGTCGACAGGGTCCCGCGACATTTTTCTCGTTCTCCTGAGCAGCCCAACTGCCAAATGTTACGTATGACCCGATTTTCTCAGCAAAGCAAAGCCCACTGGTTATTCAAACTTCAATACCCTGATCTTGGTCATGGCCAATGTTAGAGGCCTCCTGGATGGGGTCGGAGTAGATGGGGTCGGAGGACCGCGCCGCATCGCCGATACATCGGCGATACATCGGCGATGCATCGGCGATGCATCGGCGATGCATCGCCGATGCACCTGCGATGAGGCGTCGACGACGGCGATGTGTCGGCGACGTCGGCGTGGAGAAAATCGGGCTCCGCATCGAGCTGCATCGTCGATGCGGCGCGATCCTCCGACCCCATCTACTCGGACCCCAAATTTGAATACCCTGATCTTGGTCAATGTGTTCGTGGTCAGAATTTGTTGAGTTGGGAGGAGGGGGAGGGGGAGGGGGAGGGGGAGAGGAGGAGGAGGAGGAGGAGGAGGAGGAGGAGGAGGAGGAGGAGGAGGAGGAGGAGGAGGAGGAGGAGGAGGAGGAGGAGGAGGAGGAGGAGGAGGAGGAGGAGGAGGAGGAGGAGGAGGAGGAGGAGGAGGAGGAGGAGGAGGAGGAGGGAGGAGGAGGAGGAGGAGGAGGAGGAGGAGGAGGAGGAGGAGGAGGAGGAGGAGGAGGAGGAGGAGGGGGGAGGATACACTTGGTCGTGGCCACTATGCTCCTTCCCTCGGCTCTCCGGGCCTCCCAGGCGGCGATCTCGGCGCCCTCCGCGGGCAGCTGCACCTCCGTGCCCTCCGCGGCCGCGGCGTCCACGCGCAGGCGCGGCGGCGGCCTCTGCGCAGGCCCCTGCAGGAGGAGGAGGAGGAGGAGGAGGAGGAGGAGGAGGAGGAGGAGGAGGAGGAGGAGGAGGAGGGGGAGGGGGAGGAGGAGGAGGAGGAGGAGGAGGAGGAGGAGGAGGAGGAGGAGGAGGAGGAGGAGGGGAGGAGGAGGAGGAGGAGGAGGAGGAGGAGGAGGAGGAGGAGGAGGGAGGAGGAGAGAGGAGGGCCTCTCGGGGCGTCTGGGCAGCTCTGCGGGGCGAGTGGGGGGCCTGCTGGACGTGGCCAGGGGCCAGCCTGGGGAAAGGGCTCGAGCCTGCAGGAGGGCACAAAGACCACCCTGGCAATAATGAAGGGGAACTGGGACACACACATAAATACACACGAATAAGAATATCCCCATATTTTCCCATATTTTCTGGGTTTCTGTCTTCCCCCCCAGGTCCCATATTTTCCCATGTTTTCTGGGAATCGCCGATTCATTGTGTCTGTGTGTTTCTTTCCCTCCTGAAATAAGCACACCGAAGCCCTTCAGTCCGCCTCCGTGCCGCGAGGCACACGCTGGAATGCACTCAGGCCCGTTGTGGTCCTCACCATTCCTTACTCTTCAGGATTGAACGCTAAAGCTATGGATGCCACAACAATGGACACTCTAACAATCCTATCATTGAATTAAAGATGTGTTAAACATGTGTAAAACATGTTCTAAAAATGTTCCGAACATGTCTTAAACATGTTTTTAATATGGTTTGAGACATCTTCTAGACATCTGGAAATTATTTGGCAACGTGCTCCCTCTCCACTGATCGCCCTCCACAGCGCTAAAGGGCCCGAACCCCAAATTCCTAAAATCTCCCGGGGCTCCCGGCGTGCCTTCCGCGGCTCCCTGTGTCGAGCCGACCTTCGAACCTGGTTCGATCCCCTGTTGCGACGAAACTCCGCGCGGCTCGCCGTTTCCAGACCGCCATCCCGCTTAGCCTTGTAAGCATCGAGTTGGAAGTGCAAGCCCCAGGTTCCCCGACTCTCGCTGTCACAGCTCTACCCCCGTCACGTTGTACCAGGCTCCGCGCGCCTAACCGGGCATCTCCGATCCAAGCTGCGCCAACGTGTCAAACATTGGACGATTTTGTTATCACGGAACGTTGCATCAAATAATCGGCTTTCTTATGTCAAACCCAAAACCGCAAATACAAGATATCACGTCGGCTCCTGGTAGTGAATCGCTATGGGTGATCTGGTTGCCATCGTGCTGCCAGCATGGAAACACGCGCGATGATTCAGAACCTCGGCGTGAACCTCTGCTTTCTCATGTGATGACCTTTCAGATTTGGCGCAGTCCTGCGAAAACCATGGTACGGTAGAGGGAAACAATTAGTGAACACCCCCCCTGCCCCCCAAACTCAAGGTTGGCACGCGGGGGGGAGACTGCGGTCGAGGTGCAACTCATCAGACCCACCGCCAACTTTGAATATTGGGGGGAGGGGGAGGCGTTCACAGATGAATGTGGCATGAGTGTTCGCTAATTTTTTCCGAGGCCTGTAAGTACCCCTGCGAGCGAGGCCCTTTCAGGAACGCCCCCAGGCCAGGTGTCTGACCCAGATCTCCCGACGGTACGGCCATCGGTCTGACCTAAGGAACGATAAACAAGGAACGAGGCCCCTTTCCTCCAAGGAATAACGCACAGGGAACGAGGAACAAATAATACACAACGCACAGGGAACGATGCATAACGCAGGTAGAGCCTAAGGAACGACCGAGCCCCTTTTGAAAAGTCAGCGTTCCTCATTCAAGCCGCTCACTGTATGCTCTTCTCTGCCCAGAGTTCTCGACGGTATCCAGGAGGAAGAAAACACACACACAGACACAATGAATCGCCGGTCCCCAAGAAGATATGGGAAAATATGGAATTTGGGAAAATATGGGAACCTATGGGGGATCTTTTGCTTTGTGTGTATCTATTTGGGTGTCCTGGGGCCCCTTCAGGGATGCCCTTCGCTGCCCGGGCGCTTCGCCCCGACCTTCGGCCTCCTCGGGGCCCGCCGTCCGGCCCCAGGAGGGACCACCAGACGTGGACTCACTGGGGCGACAGCAGACGCACGAGGACGACCCAGAGGACCTCCCCCCCCCAAGAGGCTTCCAGAACGCAGAAAAAACATGGATTCCTCCTCCTCCTCCCTCCTCCTCCTCCGCCCTCCTCCTCCTCATCCCTCCTCCTCCTCCTCCTCCTCCTCCTCCTCCTCCTCCTCCCCCCCTCCTCCTCCTCCTCCTCCTCTCCTCCTCCTCCTCCTCCTCCCCTTCCTCCTCCTCCTCCTCCCCCTTCCCCTCCTCCTCCTCCTCTCCCCTCCTCCTCCTCCTCCTCCTCCTCCTCCTCCTCCAGAACGCAGAAAAACATGGATTGTCCAAGGCTTTTGCATGGTTTGGGGATGCCCTGCTCTCATCACCAGGTCGACACTCGAGAAAAAATCTTCACCAGAATTCCCACGGCGGCGACGAACAAAAATAAAAACACTATGCAGGGGGGGTCCCAAATCTGGCGGCCAACGCCCCGGACCCTAAGTAAGTGTTACGAAAAATTGGCGGCGGCCGCGCGCAAAAGCCAAACCGACAATATAAAGACGAGGGCGGCGGACTCTGCGCACACTATATGTACTACGTGACATGAGCATGGAAAGATATCGGTGTAGGTAATGTATGTAGACGTGCTTAACTCGCGCGCATGCGTGCGTACATGCTTACCACATATATTTTGATTTGAAGATCGTCGGGCCGCGAAATACGAGCCGGAATCCGACGCCGCAACCCAATTCAAAAATACCTCCGTTCTCTTATCCGAAAGCGCCCGCAATCGCTTCCAACATCAAGCGAAACCTTCAACCCACGAGCGCGCGCCGAAAGCACAAGTAACAAAACATGTCCAAGAAATGTCTGGAAATATCACGCTTCGCCGTCGTTTACCCCCCCTAGACCCGAACTCCCCATGCCACCGCGACGAATTACACAACATAATTCTTCTGATCCCCCCCCCCCAGGCCCGAAACACCCACACAAAAGGAACAACCGCGCAACCGCGACGAATTGCACAACACAATTCTGTTTCGAAGGGAGCAAACGCGCAACCGCGACGAGGCCTCTGGCCCACGGCCCAGGCGCGGTAGCGGGGTGGGCTGAAGGCAGTCTTACAAACAGCCGATGCAAATTCGCGGCGGCGGCGGCGGTCCCGAACATTAGGTGCACTTTGCAAAAGACGGATTCGGCGACGGCGCCCCGCCCAGAGACTGGGTGGCGTGGAGGCTGAGTAGACCAGGTGATCTGCTCTCAGGGCTTCTGGGCGTCCGAGACCGCCCGGGAGGCTCGGGCCTCGCCCCCGAGACCATCCGAGAGGGCCTCCAGGCCCTGGGCAAGGGGGTCGGGACTCGCGGAGCCGCCGAATCCCGCCGGGGCGACGAGGGCAGCCCTGACTCCGGATCCGCCCTACTTTGGCTTTTTTCCAACTCAAAATTGCGTGGGAAATCCACCTAGAAGAGGCCGAAAAAGTAGGGCGGAAATTGCTGCACCCAACATACAATAGGGCGGAAACCGACAGAAACAGCAACAGAACAGTAGGGCGGAAATTGGCAGCAGCGGGGCTTGAAAAGTAAGGCGGAAATTCCAAGCCCCACTTACGAATTTCCCCAAAGTAGGGCGGATCCGGAGTCAGGGAGGGTAGCGGCATCAGTATCTCGTCCTCTGCTGAGCCTACTGCGGGATGACGATTGATAAAAAAAATGGGAGAGAACGATTCAAACATAGTTTCCTGCTGTTTCTGCACAAGTTTCTGACTGGAGGAGAACGATTAAAGACATAGTTTTCCAGCCCGCGGCTGGTTTTTTTCTAATCGTCCTCCCGGGCGCCGCCGCGTGAGCACGACCCCCGGTAAATCTGCCTTCTCCTAACGACCTTCCAGATTTAGCGCAGTCCTACGAAAACCATGGTACTGGCCATCGCTCGGACGTCCATTCCCTGTGTTTTTTTCGGTTTCGTGCGTGGTTTTTTCGCCGAATGATCAAGGATGGTCCTCGATGGTCCTCGCCGAAGGAAAAACGCACACGTCCGAGCGATGCCAAGTGAGCCTATGTAGTGAACGCCCAAGACTGCCTACTACCCTCGTCGGACTCAGCCTCGAAAAGCGCGTTGCCTGCGAAGTCACTTGTTGACGCCCACTTTCAATGGGCGGTCATCGTGGAACTAACGAGTCGCGCCAGCCCCAGGCCACGCTCCAGTCTGCTTCGGCATGGAAGGGCGCGAGGTTGCAGGGCCGGAAAGAGAGGCGACATCGAAGGGGCGCGTCAACAACTTGCGAGGTTAATGTTGTCGAGGGTTGTAGCACATGCCAGATAAGGGGGTCGGGGAACAAGACGTCGATGGATGAGAACAAGACAGGGCCCCGGGGAGACAAGCAGGTACCGATACCGCGGCTCCCCGTGTTCTGGCCCGAGTTTCGAAACGAAGCCGGCCGTGGCGGCGAGGGAAGGGCAGCGGCATCCGTAATCTTGGAGGCCTAGAAATGGGCACCAACACCAACACAGGGGGTTGCATCCACATGGGGAACATGATCCTAGATTTCGGTATTGGTGGCAATATTTCGGCCACCTTGGAAGCCAGAATATTACCACCACCACCGAGATCGGGATCGTCTTCCCTCGGCGGAGGCACACCGCCGATATTGGTGTTGGTGTCAATCTCTAGGCCTGCAATAATCTTCTCCTCCGAGTCTCCCGGGGGAACGCCGAGGACTGCCTAACGAGTGAAGGCGCCCGTGGTGGGGGTCGGGGCGGGCCCTTCCCTCCCCTGCTCCTGTTGAGCAGGGGCCGACCGTCCCGGCATTCCTATAGTCCTACCACGAAGTGTTCATAGGACCCCAAAATGTTCTAAGAGCAAAAACAATGTTCTCAGAACATAAGCCCGAGGTGGCAAAACATGACAGTCTCCGCCAGAAATGTCCTAAGAACATTCCGTGGGAGCCACAAGAGGTTCTTACAACACTGTTTGGTGGGGCTAGTAGGCGAGCCAGGACGCTTCGCCGCTGCTTGAGTGATGGGGGTCGGGGCGGGCCTTTCCCTCCCCTGCCCCAAAAATACCCCCAAAAAATACCCCCAAAAGGTCAAAAGATACTCAACAAATAGTCCCCAGACTATGTTTGGAGTATTTTAAGATAATTTTTGAGGGTAATTCTTGTTTTTCGTCAAATCCCCCTGTAAGGAGACAGGCCCGACCTAAGCCTTTCCCTCTCCTGCTCCTGCGCGCGTCCGTCGCCCCCGCCCGGGCGCGGCGGGGGCGCGTGCGCGGCCCAGCGGGGGGGCCAGGGGCGCAATGAACTAAGAGGGGGCGCCATGAAATCTGGGGAAATACCATGGCCCCCGCCATGAGATCCCCCCCCCCCAGTCATCACCCCCCTCTTTTCCGCTCCCGAGATGCCGCGCTTGTGGCACTCCTTCGTTGAAGGCTTAACGACTTCTGCCGTCCTTCGACTCGCGCTGGAGCGGCCGCGAATTGCTCCAACTTTCCCTGGAGATCTCTGGATTTATCTGGATGTATCCGGATGTATCTCGATTTGCCTGGATTTACCCTGATTTATCTCGGTTCATCTGCTTTTACCAAGATCTATCTGGCTCGACTCCCACCATGAGATCCCCCCCCCTTAGTCATCACCCCCCTCTTTGCCGCCCCCGATCCCCTGCTCCTGCGCGCGGCCGTCGTCCCCGCCCGGGCGCGGCGGGCACGTCCCCGCCTCCTCGGACGACCTACCAGACCACCCCCAACCCAACCCGAAGACCCCGATTTCGGGTTGGGGGGGGGGTACGGGTTCCATATGTGTTTTTTCAGTGTTCCCCGACCCCCCCCCAACCCTGACTCCGGATCCGCCCTACTTCGGCTTTTTTCCCAACTTAAAGTTGCGTCGGAAATCCACCTAGAAGAGGCCGAAAAAGTGGGGCGGAAATTGCTGCACCCAACATAAAATAGGGCGGAAATCCACAGAAACAGCAACAGAAAAGTAGGGCGGAAATTGGCATCAGCAGGGCCTGAAAAGTAAGGCGGAAATTCCAAGCCCCACTTACGAATTTCCCCAAAGTAGGGCGGATCCGGAGTCAGGGGGGGGTACGGGTTCCATATTATGTGTTTTTTTCAGTGTTCCCCGACCCCCCCCCCCAACTGGAAATGGAGGGGCAAATGGAGGCCTTCGGGCTGGGTGGGGCTTGGTTTGGTGGGTGGTGCTCCTCGAAGAAGGCCTGCGCCCCGGGGGCCAGCGCCTCGGCGTCGGCGACCTGCGCCCGGCCGAAGTCCAGGATCTTGACCACGGTCGCCGACGGCTGCTGCATCTCCCACACCTGGCTGGGGTGTCAGACCCCCCTCGCGTCGCGAAAAAATCACGACGGGAGGTTTTTCATTATTTTTGGCCTTTGGGGGCCCCTACCGGCCCTCGGGACCGTCAAAAAACGACCCAGGACGAAAAACCGGTCCCGGGGAATGGGTCGAGACCTCGGGGGGTCGACGTCATGAAAAAATCATGACGTCGGGGGTCTGGGGGGTCTGGTCGCGCGGGCGCAGCCACAGGGGGGAGGGGGGGGGGGCGATGCAGTTAAGGCGGGCCTGTCCTCCTGCAGGGGGATCTTGAAACGAAAGGTAAAAAACTAAAAACAAATACCCCAAGAATGCCCCCAAATGGCACAAAATGCTCAGAAAATCGTCCCCGGGCTATTTTTGGACTACTTTTTGATACTCCTCCTGTAGAGGGACAAGCCCGACTTAACGATAAAGGGGGGGGGAGCGGGAAGTTGAGCACTTTTCGGGCCCTGCAGGCCGCCTTGTGGGCCTGGGCCCCTTCAGGGACCCCCAAAAGGGACCCTAAAGGGATTCTTTGCTGCAGGCCTCGCTGCCACACCTGCGGGTCTGGTCGCGCGGGCGCAGCCACAGGGGGAGGGGGGGCGATACAGTTAAGTCGGGCCAGTCCTCCTCCAGGGGGATCTTAAACGAGAAAATAGAAAATGCCCCCAAAATACTCCGACATGGCCAAGACATGCTCAAAAAATCGTCCCCGGGCTATTTTGGGACTATTTTTGGATACTCCTCCTGCAGAGGGACAAGCCCGATTTAACGACAAAGGGGGGGGGGGAGCGGTAAGTTGAGCACTTTTCGGGCCCTGAGAGGGAGCCTGGAGCACAGAGTGTGCAGCCAGATGATGCTGGCTCGACAAGGGTCGGGCAACAGGGCAAATCACAACCTCCCCAGCCACCCCCGCGGACGCGCCGCGGCCAACCCCCCCTGCCACGCAACGAGCAACTCCCCCCCCCCCCCGCACCCCCCCAGACACGCCACGGCCAACCCCCCCCCAGGCATTCCAAGCAGAGCGATTACAAAAAGATTCAGAGTACCAATCGTTGCAATATTTCTTTGAGCCAGGTTGGCGTCCCGTGTGGGGTCGGATGGCTTCGGAGCGCAGATCACCTAGGACCATCTACATAAGGGCCACCGCTGGCCACCAGACGGAGCCTGGAGCACAGCGTGTGCCACCAGTCGGCGCTAGGGGATGCTGCCTCGACAGGGGTCGGGCACCAGGGCAAATCCCAGCCTCCCCAGCCACCTCCGCGGACGCGACGCGGCCACCCTGCCACGCAACGAGCAACTCCATCCCCCCGCACCCCCCCAGACACGCCACGGCCAACCCCCCCTGGCAGTCCAAGCAGAGCGATTACAAAAAGATTCAGAGTACCAATCGTTGCAATATTTCTTTGAGCCAGGTTGGCGGCGTCCCGTGTGGGGCCGAACGGCTTCGGAGCGCAGATCACTCAGGACCACCTGGATGGGGGGGTCCGTTGAAGCCAACCAGAACTACCCGGGGGGGGGGCTGTCCGTGCGCAGCCCGAAGCCTCACCAAGCAGCTCTCCGTCGAGGCAGCGCGCAGAAGTGCGGCTGGACTTCCAGCTTTGAAATCTCCGCCGTACTTCTCCGATGCGGAAATTGCCGCCCTACCTTCTCACGTCGTTTGGAGTGCTGCTCCGACATCCTTGACGCAAGGATGCGGCGCGGCGGACCAGGGAAGCTGAAAGTTACCGATACCGCTACTCCCCGGACCTCTCCCGGGGTGCGTTCTGACCAGAATCTCGACGCGAATCGAGCGGTGGCGACGAGGGCCGCCCTGGAGGTCAACAAAAAAGGGAAAACGAGGGAAAGACAGCGGTACAGCTACCTCGTCCTCCTCGAAGCATCAGGGGAGGTCTGAGCCTCCCTCCTCTGCGCACCGCAGAGGGCTTGAGGTCCAGGTGGGTGATGCCTCGGGAGCGGCCAAGAGGGGGGTGTCCAAGAGGGGGGGGTGCAAATCATGACCGGCGGCACGTGCGCGGCCCAGCGGGGGGGCCTGGGACGTAATGAAATAAGAAGAGGCGCCATGAAACCTGAGGAAAAATCATGGCCCGCGCCATGAACCCCCCCCCCCCCAGTCATCACCCCCCTCTTTTCCGCTCCCGAGATGCCGCGCTTGTGGCACTCCTCCAGCCCGGTGAGCAGGGCGTCGCAGATCTGCGCGGCGTCGTGGGCGGGGATGGGGGCGCAGGCGCCGCCGCGGCAGGCGCGCAGGCGGCTCGAGAGGGGGGCACCTCGCGGGGGAACAGCAGGGGGAGGTGGTGTTTTTTTTTTGTCCGGGGGGGGGGGGGGAGGAGGAGGAGGAGGAGGAGGAGGAGGAGGAGGAGGGAGGAGGAGGAGGAGGAGGAGGAGGAGGAGGAGGAGGAGGAGGAGGAGGAGGGAGGAGGAGCGGGGAGAAGGAGGAGGAGGGGGGAGGACGACGAGGAGGAGGAGGAGGAGGAGGAGGAGGAGGAGGAGGAGGAGGAGGAGGAGGAGGAGGAGGAGGAGGGGGGAGGGAGGAAGGAGGGAGGGAGGAGGAGGCGGGGGGGAGACTCCTGGGCAAGAGGGACCCTCGGCGCGCGGCTCTCGGGGGCGAGGGGGCTCTTCGGGAGTTCCGGGCTCGAGGCTCGAGGCTCGAGGTCTGCGACCGCTCTCGCAGGCTCTCGACGGCGTTCCAGCCTCGGGGTGCCTGCCAGCAGCTGCGTCTCGCCGCGAGCGCTCCGGGGGTGCCCGGATCGTCCCGAACGGCCGCGGGAGGCCCCGAGAGCCATCCGGGGCCCTGCTCAGGTGGGAAACATCGAGCTCGAGTCGGCGATGCATCGCCGATAGACGTGCAAGAGGCCCCTGATGGCGAATCCGAGTGGTCCTGGGCGGGGTAGGCTGTCGGGCCCCTATCGGCGATCAATGGGCGACCGGGGGTCGACGCATCCTCTCCTTCATCTATCCCCCCTGACGTTGCCCCCTGAGCACCCTGCAGCAGCTCCATGACGCAGAACGCGAGGTACTCGGAGAAGCCGGGGAAGTGGAAGACGCTCTGCACCTGTGGAGGGCCAAAGCACGGCAGAACAGGGCCGAACCCAAACAGTGTATTCCGTTTTCGTTCTGTCTTCGTCTTCCCTCGCTGCTGTCTCTTGAGTCCGCCTTTACCGCAAAGCGAAGTCGAAACGAAAACGGCCCACAAAATCACCAAACACACCGTTTAGGTCCAGCCCTGGTGGCCAGGCGTGCACTGACGAGAGTAGCATCGGGCCTCTGAAAAAGCAAAGCCCAGACAGGAGGAACGCGCGTCCACGCCAGTGCACATCGTGGCGCCCCCTTCGGGGCCAAGGCGACCAGCCGCGGAGCACTCTTATTCAGACACTCCGCCACCCTCCCCGACGAGGGGAGGCCAGGCCCTGAGAACGCAGGCAGCCCAGCGCAGCAAAACCAGAGGAAGGCGGGACGCGCGCAAGCGCAGGAGCGACCGAAACGAAACGAAACGAAGGTCCAGCCCTGCGGCAGAAGCAGAACCCGTCGGAGGTCCGCGCGGATCTCCTCCTCCTCCTCCTCCTCCTCCTCCTCCTCTGGATCGGCGCTGGAGCCCCCTGGTGGCGCCTCTGCTGCCCCCGCCGCGCTCCGCGCCCCAGGAAGGGGGGGGGGGCCCAGCGCCGACCCACGACATCCGCGCGGAGCTCCGAAAATTCATGTCAGCTTGTGTGTCTTCTTGCTTTCTTCTTACAAGCCTCGTCAAAAATAAACAGAAACAAAGTTGGAAATCACGACGATCGATCTTCTCGGGCACTTGTTAGAAACTGCGTTCTTCAATGCTGCGGAGGAGTCGTCGGATTTTTGAAGCCCTTGCGTCCACGTCAGATATCTAGCGTCAGCATTGGAGTAGCGCTGACCATACAATCACCGAAAACAGAATCCCTCAGTTTATTTTTGACGAGGGTTGTAGTTATGTGTATCTCGTTCTTCTCCGAACCTCACACACGTCCGCGAGGACGGCGAGGATGCAGAAGCGCCGCATGAAGACCCGCCGCATGTCGACGGTGTCGGAGATGGGCAGGCATATGCACACGTGCCGCTGCAGATAGGAGTCCGAGCAGCGCAACCGGATCATGTCCGTCTCGACAGAGATGACGTCCCGGACGACGTAGCGCCCGACCACGCTGGATCCAGACACCTCCCGCAAGAACTTCGTCACGTCGCGATCCGCGGCGAATGCGGAGAGCGCCTCTTTGAGCACCCGGTGGCTCTGCGTCTGGAAGTCGAGCTGGACCTCCCAGCCCTGCCTCGACGGAGACCTGAGCGGTAAGGCTTCGGGCTGCGCCCGGATAGCCTCCCAGGTAGTCCTGGCTGGCTTCACTAGGATCCGGATAAATCGCTCCAGAGCGTTCCGGAGCGCTCTCAGAGCGTTCCGGAACGCTCTGGAGCGGCCGCGGCGCCCAACACATCCTCCAAACCCGCCGATTCTCAGAGATTTCGAGTTGTCCCGATCCGATTTTGTCCCGATCTTCGCGTCGTTTTACCAGACCCCCTGGGCAGCTGGTCTTAACAAGCCCCCCGAGTGGCTGGGCAGCTGGTCAACGCTACTACAATGCTGACACCAGATAAGTGACTTGGACGCGAGGGTGTCAAAAATCCGGCACACCCCTCGCAGCATTGAAGAACGCAGTTTCTAACAACCGCTCGAAAATATCGATCGCCGTGATTTCCGATTGCATTTCTGAATATTTTTGACGAGGCTTGCAGGCAGCTGGTCTTAACAAGCCCCCCGAGTGGCCTGGGGCGGTCTCAACACCCCTGGCGCTGCCTCCGGCGCCGCCCCTGGGGCGCTCCGCGCCCCGGGGCTGAGGCGGTGAGACCACCCTGGACTACAGTCAAAAACCCTACGGCAGATTCGTGTCGTGTCGACCCAGGCGTTGGTTCCTGACACCGCGGGGATCGTTCAACCTTGAACGATCGGCCATTTCCGCACTGGAAATGGAGGGCAAATCGAGGCCTTCGGGTTGGGTTGGGGTGGTTTGGTGGGTGGTGACACCCTGGACTACAGTCAAAAACCCTACCAGGGACGCGCGGTAAGAAGACCCTTGGAGGCCGAAGTTGGGATTCTTGGGGCGGCGGGCGACGACAACCTCAAGGACACAAGAGCAAGGAAGAGCAAGGACGCAAGGGTACCCCGAGCAAAGTCGCGCGTCCTTAGTAGGGTTTTTGACTGTACTCGGGGGCCTGCTGAGGCCAGCAAGCCAACCTGGGGGGGGCTGCCTGCGCGCAGCCCGAGCCCAGACTCCGCCGTCCTTTGGGTGGTTTTCCGATTCAACATTGGGTCGGAAATGCATCCCAAATGATGCGAAGAATCAGGGCGGACATTCCGTCTCAGAGAACTATGGCGGATATGAATGCAAAAATTTGGCGGAAACAGCGACGGCAAACTAGGGCAGAAATCGACACCACAGGAGCCTGAAAAGTAGGGCGGAACTTCCCACTCTCAAAATTGCCCAAAGTAGGGCGGGTCTGGAGCCAGGGAAGCCTTCAGAGGCCTCCCAGATGGGGTCGGAGTAGATGGGGTCGGAGGATCATCGCGCCGCATCGCCGATGCATCGGTGCATCGGCGACGTCGGCGCTGCATCGGCGACGTCGGCGTGGAGAAAGTGGGGCCCCGCATCACGCCGCATCGGCGATGCATCGGCGATGCATCGGCGATGCAGCGCGATGATCCTCTGACCCATCTGCTCCGACCCTATCTGGGAGGCCTAGAGCCTTACCCCCCGTCGTTCGGACGTCCATTCCCTGTGCTGTTTTCGGTTTAGTGCGTGGCTTTTTTCGCAGGATGACCCAGGATGCTCCTCAATCATCTCCGCCGAGAAAACGAGAAAAAGTGCAAACGTCCGAGCGATGCCAAGCTTACCAGAAGGAGGAGGTGGAGGAGGTGGGGAAGAGAGGAGGGGGAGGAGGAGCAGGAGGAGGAGCAGGAGGAGGAGGAGGAGGACGACGACGAGGAGGAGCAGGTGGGGGAGAGAGGAGAGAGGAGGAGGAGGAGGAGGAGGAGGAGGAGGAGGAGGAGGAGGAGGAGGAGGAGGAGGAGGAGGAGGAGGGAGGAGGACGACGAGGAGGAGCAGGTGGGGGAGAGAGGAGGAGGAGGAGGAGGAGGAGGAGGAGGAGGAGGAGGAGGAGGAGGAGGAGGAGGAGGCGGAGGCCTGCTGCCGCCCCTCGCGTCCGCGCTGAGCCTGAACTCGGCAGGCTTGCCCTCCGCCGCGAAGCCCACCGACAGGGCGGTGCGCCGGGAGCTGGAGCGGCCGCCGGCGAGCTGCGCCGCCGAGAGGGCGTGCGGAGCCGCCGCGGGCTCCTCCTGGCTCGCGCGGGTCCGCTCCGCGAGGGCCTCGGCAGGGCCAGAGTTAGGTCGGGCGTGTCCCCCCCTACAGGGAGAGATTTTCGACGAAAAAAAATACACCAAAGATATCCCCCCAAAAAACTAAAAAAATACTCGAACCATAGTCCCCAGACTATGTTTGTGTTTTTGTCTGGCCAGTGTGGGGGTACTTTTTACGTTTCGTCGAAATTCCCCCTGTAGGGGAGCAGGCCCGACTTAAGGCTAGAGGCTATAGACCCAGAAACAACGTTTTGGGGTTTCGTCGTCTCGTCGCTTCTCCCCTCGTGCTGTCAGCGTTCCGCCCTCGCCGCAGAGCGGAATCGCGACGAGAGCGGCCCACGGAGTCGCCAACACACCATTCGGGCCGAGCCGTGGGCCTCGAGCTCCCTCTGCAGCCTGACGACACCCTTCCCCAGCTCCAGCTGCAGGTGCCGCTTCTCCCGCTTCAGCTCCGCGGCCTCCTCCTGGTAGAGAACCGCGCTTGGAACCCTACCCCTACGGCGCACTTGACTCCCGAAACGTCCGAATTCAGAGGATGTCTGCAATCAAGTGAACCCCAGCGGGGGTGTCCGACATACCCTGAGATCAGACCTTACGAAACAACTACAGCATCGCGAAGAATCACGACTGGAGCCCTAAAGCCCATCTGTCTGCGGCATTATATTTAGGTCGGGCGTGTCCCCCTGCAGGGGGATTTTCGACGAAAAAATTTAAAAATACCCCGAAAATACTCCAAAAAGGTCAACAAGTACTCCACAAACAGTCCCCAGACTATTTTTGGACTATTTTGAGGTTATTTTTTATTTTTCGTCGAAAATCCCCCTGTGGGGGGACAGGCCCGACATAACATTATTTCTTCAAGCCGGGTCGATCTGTGACGGTCCCGGGGCCCGAAGCCCGGCGACCACGCCCGGTGTGAAACAATGGCGCCGCCAATATCTCAGGGAACCCCACCGTCGAGTGGACCCGCAACGTTACAGGGCAGTTTTTCACACATGGGATGTTTTAAACATATGGTATCTTAATACATGATTAATTTACGAATAAATTCATACATGCACTCATCGTTGTTTTTAATACTAAATCCCTGCATGTTTGATACATGATCCGCACGCGGAGCATCGGCACTGTAAGGGGGTTCGCAGTCGGTTGCAGATCCTTCCAGCGGGCGGCCTCGGCCGCGAGGTCTGAGGCGGCGGCCTCCTCCTGTGGCAACTCATGGGAGCCTCCCATACCATCCTGCTGGCTCTTGCGAACCGACGCTCAATCGAAGGCGAATCGACGATCGTCGACGCTAAACCGGCGCTATCCCCTCGATTGCCAAGCGCTAGTCGACGCTAGCCCACTCTAAAGACGGAGCTGCAAGGGCCTCCTCCTCCTCCTCCTCCTCCTCCTCCTCCTCAAGGCCCCCATGACTTGCCGCCGAAGCGGCCTCCTGGCCCTCGGCGGTCGCCGCGGGGGCCTCGGGCTCGTGGCGCTCCGGCTCCGGCGCGGCGGCGCCCGCCGCGGCGGCCGACTGGGCGCAGTAGAAGTGGTGCAGCAGGTTGCGATTCGCGCTCTGCAGCTTGCGCACCTCTTGGAGGAGGAGGAGGAGGAGGAGGAGGAGGAGGAGGACGAGGAGGAGGAGGAGGAAGACGAGGATGAGGACGAGGACGAGCACGAGGACGAGGGAACCGAGTGGCCTGGGGCGGTCTCAACGCCCCTGGCGCTGCCTCCGGCGCCGCCCCTGGGGCGCTCCGCGCCCGAGGGCTGAGGCGGTGAGACCACCCTGGACTACCTACCAGACCACCCCAACCCAACCCGAAGACCCAAAATTCGCCAGAATTTCGGGTTGGGGGGGGGGTACGGGCTCGTAGGTGTTTTTTCAAGGTTCCCCGACTCCCCCCCACCAGAAATGGAGGGCAAATCGGGCCCTTCGGGTTGTTTTGGTGGGCGGTGACCATCCCCACTAGTTGGGGGGCAACTCCTGGGAGGTCTTCGCCAGAAAAAAATAAGGCCTACCTATTCAACCGATCAAGGGGCCATGGTAAGCCGGATTGGGCCCGAGATTGGGGTGGATTCAGTGGGATTAGACCGGATCAATCCGGATTACACGGGATTAAGACAGATTGAACCAGCTTTCGACCAGGGATCTACCAGGGCCGACTTTGAATTTGGCCTCACAGGAGCTGCATCCTGACACTGGCATGACCTTGGCCCCGGTGGCCGACTTGTCTACCGAAGGGGAGATACATGCTGTCCCCTTTTGGGTTCCGCGGGACCTCTCTCCCCACCCCGGGGGGGGAGGGACGACGGGGCTGAGACAGGAGAGCGCAGAATCGAATCGAGAAGTCGGATCGGCGATCGACATGAATCGGATCGGCGGAAATCGGCAGCCGAGTCGGAAAAGGTCGAATCGGCGGAAATCGGCAGGCTAGTAGGCCTCCAATGAGAAATCGGAACCCAAATCGGAATCCTGAGTCGAATCGAATCGGAATCGGAAGCCATCGAAATCGGATCGAATCGAATCGGAGGAATCGAAGCGAGCCCTGCTCTCCCCACCCAGGGGGGGAGGGACGACGGGACTGAGACACCATGGCTCCCCGGGGATGGGCATCGGTTGGACGATGCGCAGTCCTATGGAGCGTCAGCTCTCGGCAGTCCGCGCGGACTTCTCTGGTCGGCGCCGAGCCCCGTCGGCGGCGCCACATGGCGCCGCCCCCATCGCTGCGCGCGCCGGGGGAGTTTCCTCGCCGCCCCCATCATAGGGCCCTACTGCGCCGATCCGGCAGTTTCCTCGCTGCCGCCACAGTGCATCCTGCCGCCATACAGGCCGGCGTGCGGCCGAAGATAGGGGAACAAAAAGTGGCATAAACATAAAAACTCGGAGGTCCGCGCGGATTCCTCGGATCGGCGCTGGGGCCCCCCCGGCGGCGCCTCCGGCGCCGCCCCTGGCGCGCTCCGCGCGCCAGGGAGGGGGGTCCAGCGCCGATCCGAGAAATCCGCGCGGGCCTCCGAAAGTTCACGCTCATGCCACTTTTGGAGGCCTGGAAAGGGGCACCAACACCAACACAGGGGGTTGCCTCCACAGGGGGAAGGTGATCCTAGATTTCGGTGTTGGTGGTAATATTTCGGCCACCTTGAAAGCCAGAATATTACCACCATCATCGAGATCGGGATCTTCTTCCCTCGGTGGAGGCACACCGCCGAAATTGGTGTTGGTGTCAACCTCTAGGCCTGCGAAACTTGTTTCTTTTTCGAGCACCTCCTCGCTGTTGACGACTCTGCTGCCAACCGCGCCGAACTCGACCTGTCTGCGCAGGTAGTCGATCTCATTCTCGAGCACGAGCACGCGGTTGATGACGCGCTGGTGGTCGTCCACCAGCTTCGAGAACACGGTCGTGGGGACGGACTCCTTCTTGAGGCCGGCCTCTCTGCGGAAGACGTCGAGCTGCGTCTCCGCAAGCTTTGCGAAGTTCGACTCCATCGGCGAGTCCGAGTCGGGCAGCTCGTACCGCAGCTGATGGTAGCGCACGTAGCGCTGGATGCGCCTCTATGAGGAGCAGAAAACGGCATCAGCATAAACTTTCGGAGGTCCGCGCGACTTTCCTGGATCGGTGCCAGGCCTCCCTCTCTGGCGTGCGGAGCGCGCCAGGGGCAGCGCTGGAGGCGCCGCCAGGGGGGCCCGGCGCCGGTCCAAGAGATCGGCGCGGAGCTCCGAAAGTCTATGTGTGTGCCCCAATCCTTCTGGATACCTTCTCCTGGCGACGACTCGAACCTATACCCTGTATTGTGTGCGACTCGCTGCGGGCTGGAACTACCAGCCCAACTCCAATTCCAATGGATCTCTATCAAATCCTATGTGCTTTGACTCTGAAATCTGGGGCCTGTGAGCGCCCCATGAAAGAACTATTGACTGCAGACGGAATAACAATCTTTTTTTCCCTGTCAGCGGGGTGAATGGCTGCGACTCCTGCCGCTCGCGCTCCCGCTGCTGCCTGTGCTGCTTGCCCTCCACCCTTGCGCTCATCCCGCCAAGTCATGTGCCCCGTTCACAGGGATCCCTTAACAATCATCTTCGGTACTTCTTCCTCGAGCCTCGCGGCAACATCTTGCTCCACGTTGTCCGCGCGGTAGCTCAGCGTGTGTACGTCCTTCGACCACAGAGTAAACCACTGCCACCGCAAGCTCACAGGCAACATAATGTTAGCCAGCGCGTGCCACAAACAGTATGCTTCAGGCAACTGATGTTGCGCAATCTACGCGGTGCAATCTATGTGGTGATGTTGGTTTTAACAAGCGAGTTGACACATCTCATGCCCTTGCAAACATTCCATCCACCCACCCGCAACTTGGTTTGCAAAACCCATGCGGTGGCGATTGCGATGCATGCTTGGCGTTGGTTGGTGCATCTCTGCGGCCACGCCAACCCAAGCACGCGCGCGCAGCGGCCAGCTAGTTTGGCGCGACCGACGCGGCCGCGGTGACCGCTGGGCAACTCCCAGCGCGCACTTCACTGCGAGTCGGCGACTTGGGCGGGCGCGGTATCATGGCAACGTCGACAAAGGTAGACACGATGATGATAGTAGCGATGCTGGTGACGATATTGACAAAGAAGAAAGCACGGCCAGTGCGGGCGCCGATGCTGATCACGATGGCGACGATGACGGCGTCCTCGCGTCGGTGATGCAGGCTTTGGAAAGAGTCCGTCATGCGCGCGCGGCCGACGCGCGAGAGTGGCCCGCATGGTATCATTTGACACAGATCGTGCCCCCCCAGCACGCGCGCAAGGGCGTGCGAATGATGTCGGCATGCGGCGCGAGAGGCCCGTTTGGCAGAATTCAATGAGTGCTGAAAAAAACTGTGGTATTCTCAAGACTCCGCAAAAGCGCGAGCGCACGTTTTTTTGTTATTATTTTTATGTGTTTAAAAAGTGATGTTGCGAAACCATTATGGTTTGTATGTTGTTTGGGCACTCGGTTTTGAAATCGTCACGGACCCAGAGTTTTTGACGGATGTCGGCATGCGCGCGCGACGACGCGTCCTCGTGCGCTTCGCCCCATGTTTTGCAGAAGGACTCTCACGACGGCACGCGCGCAGGGGCGTTCGAACGACTTCGACAGCCGCGCGCGAAGCCCGTTTGGTTGCATGTTCTGAAGCTGTTGAAACAGCCTGTGGTTTTCCTACGTGTTCGCAAGAGCGCGCGCACGAGCTTGTTTGAAGATCCGTGTTTCGTAGCCCTGTGCTTTTGTATGTGTTTTGGACACTCGATTTTGATATCCGTACGAGGCCGCAGGTTTTCGAAGGGCATGCGCGCGCGACGACGCGCGCGTGTGCACTTGGCTCCATTTTGGCAGGAGGTTTTTGAAAACTTATGGTTTTTGATAAACGAGTGCGCGCGCATAGCATGTTTCTGCAGAGGATGGCGGGGAGGGCGGATACTGGCTCGACTGGGACGCTATGAGTTCATATTTAGGATGGACGATGGGGCATAATCATACGTAAATTACAATGCGAAAAGGGTGGGTGATAACCCGGTGGAGGAGGGGGGGAAGAGTCTAATTTCGTTTCAGAAAAGAGCATCTATGTGGTGCAGCTCACGTTATGCAATCTATGTTGCGCAGCTTTTGTGGTGCAATCTGTGTGGTGCAACCTACGCTGTGCAATCTCTTGCAGCGATTCCTTGCAATCTACGCGATGCAATCTAGGCAGCGCAGTCTATGTGGTCCAATCGAACGGCGGCAACGAGATGCGACGGCGGCGACGGAGCGGCGACGGCGACAACATAGCCGCCAGACCGACGCACAGGCCCAGAGGATGACCAGAGACGAGGCGTCGACAGGGCGGCGACGGCGACAACATAACTAGCTGCAAGACCGACGCACAGGCCCAGACGATGGCCGGCGACGAGGAGGTGACGGGGCGGCGACTGCGACAACATAGCCGCCAGACCGACGCACAGGCCTGGTTCCTTAGACAAAAATACGATTGCCCAGGTGCAAGCACTGTTTGGGGAACCTGGACGAGCGGGATTTCAAATATACCGCGGCACGTTTCGTACTTACGCTTCGGTTCGCCATGCGCCGCGCGCAACGCAAGCACATCGCATCACATGTTACAGGCACGAGAACAGTAACAAAACAAACCAAAGAAAACATCCATGTTCAAATTTGCGCCATTGCTTCCAGATGCGGTGGTTTATTGCGTGCTCACGTCCTTCACGTGCCGCTCGAGGAGGCTCACGAAGTCGGCCTTGCTGATGCGGCCAGTGCGGCTCACGTCGAGCAGGTTGAAGAGGCGCTTGAAGTCGGCGCCAGGGGCGAAGCCAAGAGCCTGCAGCGCCTCCTGGAACTCCTCCAGGAAGAGGCACGGGTTCAGCATGTCGAAGGCCTGCAAGACTTAAGTCGGGCGTGTCCCCCTACGGTGGGATTTTGGGCGAAATGGTCGAAACATGCTCAAAAAATAGTCCCCAGATTTGTTTTTACTGTTTTTGAATATTCCCCCTGTAGAGGGACAGGCCCGACTTAATGCAAGACAGATGTCGCCAACCCTGGAGGTTTGCATTCCAGCAACTGCGCCCCGCCGAGAGCACTCCAGGGGTGCCCAAATCGTCCTGAGGATTATGTTGTTCCCATCGTGCTTGAGGACCGAATCCCCGGAATCATTTCGAGCACCCGGAAAAGTGTCGAAAGGGTGTCGAAAGGGTGTCGAAACAGCGTCGAACCCTCGAGTTTCAGCACTTTTTTGGTGCTCGACATTCAAGGTTAAAGTAGGTTGGAACATCGTAACCCGAGAATGGCCGCCCGACGCCTGAGGTACGACACGAAGGCCACCAGGGCGGAAGCCCAAAGGCCCAGACACCCCAGCGTTGCACTCTTTCCATGCTGGGCATTTTCGCCCAGCTTCGGGCCCACAGAGTTGCCACAGGAGGAGGCCGCCGCCTCCGACCTCGCGGCCGAGGCCGCCCGCTGGAAGCATCGACAACCGATTGCGAACCCTACCCTTGCGGGTCCACTCGACGCTGGGGTACCCCGAGATACTGGCACTGCAATTTTTCATACTGGACGTTTTCGCCAGGCTTCGGGCCCCGGGACCATCACAGATCGATCCGGCTCGGAAAATGCTGCCGAAAGACGGGGTCTGGGACTCCGATCGTGACTGTTAGCGATGTTGCAATTGTTTCGCGGCGTCGGATCTCAAGGAAGCTGAGCATATGCTTTCCGAGCTCCGCTTGGACTCCTCCGACCGGCGCCAGAAACTCCTGGCGCCACCTCGAAAGCCGCCTGTCGCGCTTCTTGTGCCAGGGAGGCGGGTCCAGCGCCGATCCGAGAAATCCGCGCGGGCCGCCGAACAATTTCGAACCGAACCGGCCGAACCGAACGGGGCGAACCGAGCCAGCCGAACCGGACCCGTCTGCGACGCGAACCGAACCGGTCTGCCACGCGAGCCGAACCGGACGAAGCGAACCAGGCGCGCATCGAACCGAGCCGAACCGTCTGCGACGCGAACCGAACCGGTCTGCCACGCGAGCCGAAATGGACGAACCGAACCAGGCGCGCATCGAACCGAGCCGAGCCGAACCGAACCGCCGCTTTCATGCTATTCAAACCTGTCTGCTTCGAGCCTCTCGGGCCCCAGACCCCCGACGTCATGATTTTTTCATGACGTCGACCCCCCGAGGTCTCGACCCATTCCCCGGGACCGGTTTTTCGTCCTGAGTCGTTTTTTGACGGTCCCGAGGGCCGGTAGGGGCCCCCAGAGGCCAAAAATAATGAAAAACCTCCCGTCGTGATTTTTTTCACGACGCGAGGGGGTCTGGGTCTCCGGCCCGAATTGGCTCAGCATCGGTCCCCCGATCCCTCCCAGGGTCCGTCCCGGCCCCTTCTCGAGGTGGATCCCGCCGCGGCGACGAGAAGCTCCCAGGAGGCCCAGAAGGGGTAGAAAAACGCCAGGGTCCTCCCCGGAGATGCGAAGCTGTGAACCCAGACCCCCTCGCGTCGTGAAAAAATCACGACGGAAGGATTTTCCTTATTTTTGTCCTTTGGGGGCCATTACGGGCCCTCGGGACCGTCAAAAAAGGACTCAGGACGAAAAACCGGCCCCGGGGAATGGGTCGAGACCTCGGGGGGTCGACGTCATGAGAAAATCATGACGTCGGGGGTCTGGGAAGAACTGGGAGCCTCGCGAAAATTTGCCACCAGAGCCCTGGAACCCAGCTTTCTGTGGCACTATTCGAGCTGGATCGATTCGTGATGGTCCCGGAGCCCGAAACTGGGAGACAACGCCCGGTGTGACAAAAATGCAACGCTTAAGTCGGGCCTGTCCCCTTACAGGGGGATTTTGGACAAAAAATAAAAAATATCCCAAAAATATTCAAAAGATGCCCAAAAGTATTCAAAAACAAATCCTCATATTATTATTTGGCTATTTTTGAATATTCCCCCTGTAGAGGGACAGGCCCGACTTAATGCAACGCCCAAATCTCAGGGCGTGCAGATTCCTCATCTTCGAAGGCCTTGGCCATGCTGCCGGCGGTGCGCGAGAGCAGCAGGGCGATCCGCTCGGTGCTCTCGGAGGGCAAGCTGGCGTCGAGGCGCTTCCTCTCCGTCCCGCCGAGCGTCGACTGGCAAGCGATGCTGGAAGAAGAAACGACGTCGTATAGTCCCAACCCGACCTCCAGCGCCTCGCGAAACTCGAGACCAAGTATTTCACACTTCTCGGCCTCTGGGGGCCCTCGCTGGGCCCCAGGACCGTCAAACAACTACTCAGGACGCAAAGCTGGGGCAGGCACATGCGGCACTAGAGTTAAGTCGGGCCTGTCCCCCTACAGAGGGATTTTCGACGAATCATAAAAAATACTCCCTAAATATCCCCCAAAGGGCCAAACATACAAAAAAAACAGTCCCCAGACTATTTTTGGACTACTTTTTGGCTATTTTGGGGGTATTTTTTTTCGTCGAAAATCCTCCTGTATGGGGGACACGCCCGACCCAGACCCCCGACGTCATGATTTTTTCATGACGTCGACCCCCCGAGGTCTCGACCCATTCCCCGGGACCGGTTTTTCGTCCTGAGTCGTTTTTTGACGGTCCTGGGGGCCGGTAGGGGCCCCCAGAGGCCAAAAATAATGAAAAACCTCCCGTCGTGATTTTTTCACGACGCGAGGGGGTCTGGGGACTTAGCACTAGAGGCAGATCAGCCTTTTCGGCCAGAGGCGAGGACGGCCGCCAACGCAGTCGAACAGGCGGCAGGCCGCGCCGGGCAGGGGCACACACACCCGGCAGGTGAAGAAGACGAGGGCGGCCGCGGAGGGGCTTGCCCCTCGAGATACCCAGGCCCCCTCGAGTTATGAAAAAATCACGACGGGAAGTTTTTCGCCATTTTTGGCCTCTGGGGGCCCCTACCGGCCGGGACGGACCCTGGGAGGGATCGGGGGACCGATGCTGAGCCAATTCGGGCCGGAGACCCAGACCCCCTCGAGTTCTGAAAAAATCACGACGGGAGGTTTTTCGCCATTTTTGGCCTCTGGGGGCCCTTACCGGCCCTCGGGACCGTCAAAAAAGGACTCAGGACGAAAAACCGGTCCCCGGGAATGAATGGGTCGAGACTTCGGGGGGTCGACGCCATGAAAAAATCATGACGTCGGGGGTCTGGGTAAGGAGATCTTGCTGTCAGGAAGTCCAGGCCTCGGGAAAAAGTAGCGGGCACTCATGCCGCATTCATCTGTGAGCGCCTCCCCCTCCCCCCAATGCTCAAAGTTGGCGGTGGGTCTGATGAGTTGCACCTCGACCGCCGTCTCCCCCGCGCGTGCCCACCTTGAGTTTGGGGGGCAGGGGGGGTGTTCACTCATTGTTTCCCTCTGCCGTATCAGAAAATCTTGCCGCTGTGAAGAATCTTGCTGTAAGAAATCCTGCTCAGGTGCTCCAGCTCGGGGGCATTTTTTGCAAAAAAACCGAAGGATTGCAAAAAAAACCAAGGATTGCAAAAGAAAACCGTTCAAGGATTGCAAAAAAAAAAAAAACCCAAGGTTTTTTCCCAACCATCCTGTGGTGTTGGGTCCTCGTTTTGAAAAGACAGCGCCCCGCGTCCACTCCTCCCGCTGCCCCCTCCTCCTTCCTGCGTTTCACCCACCAAGTACAGCGCTTCGTAGCCCCATAGGGAGCTCCACCGAAGGCCCTGGTTCGCATGGCGGCCTCGGGCCATTTCGGCACACCCCTCTCGAGGATCGTGGCCTCATGGGGAGCTCCACCGAAGGCTCCAGTGGCAGGGTTCGCATGGCGGCCTCGGGCCATTCCGGCACACCCCTGACGAGGATCGTGGCCCCATGGGGAGCTCCACCGAAGGCTCCAGTGGCAGGGTTCGCATGGCGACCTCGGGCCATTCCGGCACACCCCTGACGAGGATCGTGGCCCCATAGGGAGCTCCACCGAAGGCCCCAGTGGCAGGGTTCGCATGGCGGCCTCGGGCCATTTCGGCACACCCCTCTCGAGGATCGTGGCCCCATAAGGGAGCTCCACCGAAGGCGCCAGTGGCAGGGTTTGCATGGCGGCCTCGGGCCATTTCGGCACACCCCTCACGAGGATCGTGGCCCCATAGGGAGCTCCACCGAAGGCCCCAGTGGCAGGGTTCGCATGGCGGCCTCGGGCCATTTCGGCACACCCCTCACGAGGATCGTGGCCCCATAGGGAGCTCCACCGAAGGCCCAGTGGCAGGGTTCGCATGGCGGCCTCGGGCCATTTCGGCACACCCCTCACGAGGATCGTGGCCCCATAGGGAGCTCCACCGAAGGCCCAGTGGCAGGGTTCGCATGGCGGCCTCGGGCCATTTCGGCACACCCCTCACGAGGATCGTGGCCCCATAGGGAGCTCCACCGAAGGCGCCAGTGGCAGGGTTCGCATGGCGGCCTCGGGCCATTTCGGCACACCCCTCACGAGATCGTAGACCCATAAGGGAGCTCCACCGAAGGCGCCACTCGCAGGGTTCGCATGGCGGCCTCGGGCCATTTCGGCACACCCCTCACGAGGATCGTGGCCCCATAGGGAGCTCCACCGAAGGCGCCAGTGAGAGGGTTTGCATGGCGGCCTCGGGCCATTTCGGCACACCCCTCACGACGATCGTGGACCCATAAAGGGAGCTCCACCGAAGGCGCCAGTGGCAGGGTTCGCATGGCGGCCTCGGGCCATTTCGGCACACCCCTCACGAGGATCGTGGCCCCATAGGGAGCTCCACCGAAGGCCCTAGTGGCAGGGTTCGCATGGCGGCCTCGGGCCATTTCGGCACACCCCTCACGAGGATCGTGGCCCCATAGGGAGCTCCACCGACTGCCCCCAGTGGCAGGGTTCGCATGGCGGCCTCGGGCCATTTCGGCACACCCCTCACGAGGATCGTGGCCCCATAGGGAGCTCCACCGAAGGCGCCAGTGGCAGGGTTCGCATGGCGGCCTCGGGCCATTTCGGCACACCCCTCACGACGATCGTAGACCCATAGGGAGCTCCACTGAAGGCGCCAGTGGCAGGGGTCGCATGGCGGCCTCGGGCCATTTCGGCACACCCCTCACGAGGATCGTGGCCCCATAGGGAGCTCCACCGAAGGCGCCAGTGGCAGGGTTCGCATGGCGGCCTCGGGCCATTTCGGCACACCCCTCACGAGGATCGTGGCCCCATAGGGAGCTCCACCGAAGGCCCAGTGGCAGGGTTCGCATGGCGGCCTCGGGCCATTTCGGCACACCCCTCACGAGGACCGTGGCCCCACTGGAGCTCCACGGAAGGCGCCAGTGGCAGGGTTCGCATGGCGGCCCCGGGCCATTTCGGCACACCCCTCACGAGGATCGTGGCCCCATAGTTGTGCTGCTTCAACAACCGCGCCTGGGCGTCGTACTCCGCCTTGTCGACGTGCAACGCCACCTCCTCCCTCATGGCTCTCAAGGCCCTTTCCTGCTTCTGCTCCTCGGTGAGAGGGACGCCGTCCTTGTCGTCGTCGGCGCCCGCGAAGACGGCCACGAACGTGTCCCTGAGCATGTCGGGCTCCGGCGGGAAGCCGTGGCCACATAGGGAGCGCGGGCGAAGATGGTATTCACAATTGCGGTATTCACAATTGTATATGGTTGGGTCTTTCGCCCGGATAATTTTTTTTTGCAATCCTTCGTTCAATGGTTTTTTTTTGCAATCAATCGAAACGTCCGTGGGGCACCTGCGGGCAGGCCGGCTTCTTCTTGGATGTGCCCACTGCAAGCTTGCGGCGGTCCGCGCGGATTTCTCGGATCGGCGCTGGACCCCTAAAACAGGGCTAGGATCATGATAAATCGCTCCAGAGCGTTCTGGAGCGCTCTCAGAGCGTTCCGGAACGCTCTGGAGCGGCCGCGGCGCCCAATACATCCTCCAAACCCGCCGAGTCTCAGAGATTTCGAATGATCCCGATCCGATTTTGTCCCGATCTTCGCGTCGTTTTAACCCCCCTTCCCTGGCGTGCCTGCGGCGGCGTCGGAGGCGCAGCCAGGGGGGGGGGGGGGGGGCAAGCTCCGATCCAGGAAGTCCGCGCGGGCCTCCAGAAGGCTACGCTTACGCGGTCTTCTCTTCTTCGAGCTGTGGAAGAAGTCGCTGAAGTCCACCGTCGGCCTGGTGCCGCCCGTCTTCTTGGTGTTCGCGCAGATCAGGGTGAAGACGCGGTCGGCCTCCGAATATACAAGCTCCGAATAACAGTGCACATATGTGGAAATGCTTCCTTTCCTTTCTTCCTCCTCTCCCTCTCTCCTCCTTGCAAGTCTTCTCTCCTCTGCCTCTACCTCCTCTTCCACCTATACCTTCGCCCCTTCGCCCTTCGCCCTCCCATACCCTTCGCGGTCGGCCTCCGAATCCTTGAGGCTGGGCTGGAACAGCCTCAGGAACCCCCGGAAGAACTCCCTGTCCATCTTTCTCTTTGCGGCGGCCGCGTGCATGCCCTCCCGGATACTCTTACCCTGCCTTGAGGGGGAACGTTTAAGTCGGGCGTGTCCCCCTACAGGGGGATTTTCGACGAAAAATGAAAAAATACACCAAAAATGCCCCAAAGAGGCAACAAAAATACTCAAAAAATAGTCCCCAGATTATTTTTGGACTATGGTCTGACTATTTTGGGGGCATGTCTTATTTTCGGCGAAAATCCCTTTGTAAGGGGACAGGCCCGACTTAAAGGAACGTTGGGGAGGGGGGGACCGGCTGAGGGGAAAAACGTCCAGCCAAAATCGGCAATCCATCGCCGATGTAGCGCCGGCGGTCGGCCCCCCCAATCGCGCGAAACCGCACGTTCCCGGGAGGCGTGTGCTCTCGGGCCCCGTGGGCGAGGAATGGGGGGATTTTCTTTTCCCCAAGCAGTGCTGGCACTCAGGGGTTCGTACAGGGCAGTATAGGATTTTTCAATATGTATATATATATATATGTGTGTGTATGTATATATAATGTGTTAACACGATTGATTTATGAATAAATTTACGCATGAACTCATCGTTGTTATTAGTACTAGATCCCTGCATTCTTAACACATGATCCGCACGCGGAGCATGTCTTAAAAACGGCACTGTACTTCTCCTCGTAGAAACTGGGCCTGTCTGCCGATCGGGCGGCCCTGTTGTCACCGCCGCCGCCCCGTCTCTGCCTCGTTTCTCCGCCCGTCGGCTGGGCCCGTCGTCCGGTCTGGCGGCTGTGGTTGCCGCCGTCGCCATGCCGTCGAGGCGTCGTCTCCGCCTGTCGTCTGGGCCTGTCTGCCGCCGCCCCGTCGCCGCCTCGTCGCCGCCCGTCGTCTGGGCCTGTTTGCCGTTCCGGCGGCTATATGTTGCTGCCGTCACCGCCCAATCGCCGCCCCGTCGGCGCCTAGACTCTCCTTTCATAATAACAATGATGAGAATAATACTACTACTACTACTACTACTACTAATAATAATAATAATAATAATAATCAGATCTCCCCCCCCCCGACTTAACGGCCTCCTGTCGCGTAGTGCAACTTACGTATGGTTATGTCCCATCGTCCATCCCATACACGTCGGTCGGAAGAAGTAGGTAAAAACATTAAATAGGAAGGCGGATATAGTAGATTGGGTCCAGGCCCTCCCAAAGAACAACAAATCACAGCAAAAGCATGCCGATTCTTGAAGTAGGAAGGCGCTTGAAGTAGATTGGGACCTGGGAATCCAAAAATACCTACTTTCAACGACCTGCGTGTACATGAATGCATACCATCCCAGGCACGCCAGTCTCGCCCCCATTCATCCTCTGGTGGAAAAAATATGTTCGCGCACTCGCTTCTCAAAATTTCGAAATGTTCAAGATTCCTTACCAGCAGTCAGACGAAATACGCACGCGCGCGTCATCGCGCGCGCATTCCGAAACCCTCCAAAAACCGTGGGTTTCGTAAAACATTCAAGACCGAGTGTCCTGGAAGCATATGAAAACACATGGTTTCGCAACAAGATGTTTCAAAACAACCAGCGCTGGCGCCCTGGCACTGTTTTGTTAAAACATATGTTGGCCACCATTATCATCACATGCTAACAGCCGTGCCTCTCGCGCGCGCACGTCGAAATCGTTCGAGCGCCCTTGCGCTCGTGCTGTCACAAGAACCCATTGCAAAAACATAAACGAAAGGCACGCGCGCTCGTCGTCGCGCGCGCATTCGGAAATCAGTCGAACACCTTGGGTTGCGTATGGATTTCAAAATCGAATGTCCCCACGACACATTCGCGGGCCCAACGGGCCAGAGGCGTGCTAAGATCTCTGGTAACAAGTTAACAATATTTCTAATTCGCGCGCGCGTGGCGGCCCCTGAGGACCCCTGGACGAAAAGTACCCCGGCCGATGCCCGGGAGATGCCCGGGCGATGCTCGGGCGATGCCCAGGCGGTGCCCGGGCGATGCCTGGGCGATGCCTGGGCGATACCTGAGCGCTCCAGGAGCGCGCCAGAAGGGCGTCGGGACGCACCCCATACACGGCCCAAAAGACCCCAAATCGCCGAAAGATCGCTCCAAGACGCTCAATATGGTCTCTAGATGGCTCCTGAAGCCACGAAAAAGCCCCGAGAGAGCCTCAAGAGGCTCTCCAAGAGGGCCCCAACAAGCAAAAATCGCCTCACTTCTTCGGAAAGCGTGCATGCTTCGCACGTGTGACGTTCGGGGGTTCACAGCGTCCAGAACTGCCTCAGAGACCTCCAACATCGTCCCCAAACGAGCCAACACGCCCCCAAGATGTGCCCAAAAGAACCCAAGAGAGCCCCATGACGGCCCAAAAGGGCACCAAGAGGCGCCCAAGACGGCCCAAGAGGGCCCTAAAACGGCTCCAAAAGGGGCCCAAGAAGGGGGCCAGGAACCGAAAAACACAGCCTTCAGCCTGGGGCCCAAAGAGGCCGTCAGGAGGCTCCAAGAGGCCCCCAAGAGGTCCCAAGAGGCCCCCAAGGGGCCTCCAAAAGGCACCTGAAGAAGCCCGAGGCCCCAAGAGGCCTTAACACGGCCCCCAAGAGGCCTCAAAACTGCCACCTAGAAGCTCCCGAGAGGCCAACCACGAAAGCACAACCAACATCCATGAGGCCTCCGACCCACCACCCAGGCACGGTGGCGGGATGGGCCGAAGGCCAATAGATCCGCCGCCCCCTGCTTGCAGGGGTGCACGGCGTGCTGGATATTTCAGGTTTTGGTTTTGGTTCTTTTTCTAAAAGAATCGAAGACGCCTACGGCGAATCACCGCCGCCCCCTGCCTTTTTGGAAGCGCCTATGCGGCCGAACGTTGAGGCCAGACCTGCCGAGCTATCGGACCATATGTTCCCCGAATCGGTTTGGAAAGCCTTCGGGGAACACGTGGGCATCTTGAAGGTCATCTTGGCCGCCTGGAGGCCATTTTGACCCTTTCGGGCCTTCTTTGAGGACGTCTTGGAGGGCTCGTGGGCCGTCTTGGAGGCCGTCTCGAGCGTCTTGGAGGCCTCCTGGGCCGTCTTGGGGACCTCTTGGGGCCGTGTTGGGCGCCTCTTGGGCCGTCATGGGGCCATCTTGGAGGCCTCTTGGGTGCTGTTGGGGCGATGTTGGGGACCTCATGGGCCGTCTGGGGCCGTCGGAGAGCTGAAAAGAAGAACATGCCAAAATCCTTAAAAAACCTTAGGAAAATCAATGATTACCTAACAGCGAAGACTGATAGGTTTCTAGTGGGATCAAAAGAGAGCAGCAGATCACTCCACAGGGGGGTCCGGGCAGGTGTTGGGAGTTGCCGGGCGGCAGGTGCCGGGCTCGTTTTTCACCAACAGTCACACACTTCGTGCTCTTCGACTTCCCAGAACTCCATTCCCAGGCCACATTCTCAATACCCGGATGCAACAGTCACACACTTCGTGCTCTTCGAGATCCCAGAACGCCATTCCCGGGCCACATTTAAAATAACCGGATGCAACAGTCACACACTTCGTGCTCTTCGAGTTCCCAGAACGCCATTCCCGGGCCACATTCTGGAGGGCCGGATGCAACAGTCACACACTTCGTGCTCTTCGAGTTCCCAGAACTCCATTCCCGGGCCACATTTTGGATGCCCGGAGCCAACTGTAGGCCACTTCGTGCTCTTCGAGTTCCCAGAACTCCATTCCCGGGCCACATTTTGAATGCCCGGAGCCAACTGTAGGCCACTTCGTGCTCTTCGAGTTCCCAGAACTCCATTCCCGGGCCACATTTTGAATGCCCGTAGCCAACTGTAGGCAACTTCGTGCTCTTCGACTTCCCAGAACTCCCATTCCTGGGCCACATTTTCAGCAGGGGCAAGAGCACGACGAGGAGGAGGACGAGCAAGACCAGGAGGACGAGGACGAGCAGGAGCAGGACGAGGAGCAGGAGGAGCAGGAGAAGAAGGACGAGCAGGAGGAGGAGGAGGACGAGCAGGAGGAGGAGGACGACCAGGAGGAGGAGGACGACCAGGAAGAGGAGGAGGAGGAGGAGGAGGAGGAGGGGGAGGAGTACCAGGAGGAGGAGGAGGAGGAGGAGGAGGAGGAGGAGGAGGAGGAGGAAGAGGAGGAGGAGGAGGAGGAGGACGAGGACGAGGAGGAGGAGGAGGAGGGGGGGGGAGAGTACCAGGAGGAGGAGAACGAGGACCACCAGGAGGAGGAGGAGGAGGAGGAGGAGGAGGAGGAGGAGGAGAGAACACCAGGAGGAGGAGGAGGAGGAGGAGGAGGAGGAGGAGGAGGAGGAGGAGGACGAGGAGAGGAGGAGGAGGGGGGGGGAGAGCACCAGGAGGAGGAGAACGAGGACCACCAGGAGGAGGAGGAGGAGGAGGAGGAGGAGGAGGAGGAGGAACACCACCAGGAGGAGGAGGACGAGCAAGACGAGGAGGACGAGAACGAGGACGACCAGGAAGAGGAGGGAGGAGGAGGGGAGGGGGAGGACTACCAGGAGGAGGAGGAGGAGGAGGAGGAGGAGAGGAGGAGGAGGACGAGGAGGCGGAGGAGGAGGAGGAGGACGAGGAGGAGGAGGGGGGGGGAGAGCACCAGGAGGAGGAGAACGAGGACCACCAGGAGGAGGAGGAGGAGGAGGAGGAGGAGGAGGAGGAGGAGGAGAGAGCACCAGGAGGAGGAGGACGAGCAAGACGAGGAGGACGAGAACGAGGACGAGCAGGAGGAAGAGGAGGAGGAGGAGGAGGAGGAGGAGGAGCAGCAGAGAAAGAGGAGGAGGAGGAGGAGGCAGGCTGAGGCTGAGGCTGTGACTGCGACTGCCGTTGCCGCTGCGACTGTCATCGCGAATGCGACTACGACTGCGAGAACAGCAGAATTCGACAACTGGATTTTCATCTGAATCTTAAGGGGAATGCTTTCAGATATGCTTCTACACATCGCTGTTAGGTTGCTTTGCCGGGATAATTTTAACCTATTCGGGCCTTCCTGGAGGGCGTCTTGGAGGGCTCTTGGGCCGTCTTGGAGGCCTTTTGCGGCCTTTTGGGCCGTCTTAGACCATCTTGAGGCCATC